TTCGGTTGTGTTTTACAAAAGGTGTCTGGCTGCTGGTTTCTTGCTTGTGATAATGCATTTGCCAAAGTTTCTCGTCACACAGCTTGCCTGTTTCACCAGCAATCCCCGATTCTTTACCGGGGTCGGCGGCAGGGGCGGCAGCCCTTAAATAGATATAGATACAGTTATAGCTATAGCTATAGATATAGATATAGATATAGATATAGATGCAGATATCAATTTCCCCCCTACATGGGCCCCCACTGTGGGGGTATATTATGTTAAATTATGTTTGAAAGGGAAAGGAAAGTGATTAATAATTTTATAACCAAAAACTGTGGGGTATTGTAGGGTGCCCACGTCAGGCGTGGTGTCAGAGGTTGTTGATGATCGTTTTGCAGTTTGGTTGCTTTGCGGCGATTGCCAACTTTAGCAGCATCAGCCAGAGATGGAAAGGCCGGCATTGCAGCAGGTCGGGCGGGCGCGGTGTTCTTCTCGGTCTCCGTGAAATAGATTGGAGGAGGCGGCTGCTCCCAGGCTGGCTTCCAGCCAGCGGGGTTCAGCCCCACCTCCACTAAAGCCTGGTAGTGGCCCACCCCGTTGTAGAAGACGCGCCTGGTCAGAGCCGTTTCAATTCCCGCCACGTCCGGATTATCATATGTCCACAGGAAAACCAAAAACGGCTTCCTGTAGATAACCCCCCCACAAATCAAGCCCGCATTTTGACGGTTAAGTCCACTCAAAATGTCGTCGAAGCTGAATCCTTTGGGGGGTCAGGAGATGGATCGTCTGCTGATGACTCAGGCCGATTGTGGAATCATTGGTGGACTCCTGTTTGATGATGGTTGATGCTGAAAATACCTACTACTTAAATCATATTGTATAAATCCCAATTAGCACTGGTGAAATGCCAATCTGTATCCGCAACTGCTTTTCGAACAAACTGCCCGATCAATGTCATCGTAATTCATCACAATTCTGGGATAGTTACCCTTGCTAACCACAATTTCATATAAATTCCCAATAACCATGTTTAGACCTGAGACGGATGAATTTTACGTTAAGTATAGACTATCACTACTAGGAGGGATAAAATGAGCCATTTGACTTTCAGGGATTACATTCGCCATGATTGCCCCTTTAATTTATATTCACAGTATATTCCCATCGTACCACCGATTTTTGCTGGTTAATTCCAGAACTTCTAGTTGATTACCCATTGTATTCAAATATGGAGGTTTCCATAAACGGAGGTGCCCCAATAATAGCTGGATGGTTTATACTAGAAAATGCTATGAAATTGGATGATTGGAGGCTACCCCCATGACTCAGGAAACCTCCATATATCCACATGAAGATTACATGAATCAATCGCCACCGCATTTCTAGGGAGACCTCCACCCTTTGTTCTCCCCACTGGCTCTCCCGCAAGCGCTGCCGTAGTGCTTGGGCCAGACGACACAGCAAATGCTCCTGTGCTTTGGACGTGGATGGGATTGAACATAGTAACTATGAGATTGCTATTATTACTATCTTATAGCCTTATAGCTAACATGTTACTATGTAAAAATATTGTATTAAGTTGCGAGATTTGTGTTAACTGCTATGAGTATTGATATATTGTTACTATGTTATAACTAATGTTACAATGCAATGTGGAGTTGCTATGACTACTAAGAACTATGGGATTTAGTAGTTCGATCATTGTGGCTAATCATAAAAATAACGATGTGATTTAATATCATTTATCCCTATGGAAACTATGTGGGCTTATCATGGATTATCAATAATATGTATAACCCCTATCATTTATGGAACATTTATTTATAATAGTAACTATGATAATCCATATAAATATTACACATATTGTTATCCAGTGAAACACGAGATTGCTTAGCTCGCTTATCCCTATGGGAACTACAGGGGATTATCAATTGATATCTGGGACATTTCTTTATTGGTAAACTTAATTAACAATAATTTCATCACTGGATAATATATCACATGGGTTATAATTATGGGTATAACAGTGGATATATTATATAATGGGATTCTTATATGGGATTGTATATATGTAGATACATGGTTATACTATATTGATTTAACATTGTATATATATATATACATATATATATATAGTGTGAATGTGTATGTGTGAATGAATGTATCCTGGTATCTCTATTTTGTCTGGCTGAATATATTTCAATCCTGATTTTAATGTATATATTGGATCTGGTGGTTGAGCCACCCTTTGAAAATCTGAAAGTCAATTGGGGGGATCATCATTTCATTTTCAGAAATGGCAGAGAAAAAATGTGTGAAACTGGCAACCAGTGGATATGATCACTGAAGATAACTCTAGATTACTCTAGATTTAAATCATTGGTTGTATGGATATTACTGTTTACTATTCCAAATTCAGATAAGATGAACCATTGGGGTATCTATATATCCCTAGTCTGGGGGCTTCGACATGCTTACATCCCCTTGGCTGGTTCTACCATGATAAACATATTGATCATGTACCCTCCTGTAAACTTTTACATAGATGTGGAGCTTACCCACCATGATCATGAGATCATCTTCGAAACGGGAAACCATTCATAGATTTTACACATCTCTTTTTGGAGCAGTTTACCCCATTCCCAGGCGTTGTTGCTGAGTTTGCCGTAACTGTATGGCTGTGAACATCTTCAAACACTCAAACATTTCATGCATAATTATCACTTGTGTGGTATAAATGTAAGAAATAAGATAGTACATACAACATACCATAAACAATTCATGAACACAACATACAAATCCTAAACATGTGATTAATATACATAAACAAATCATTGAAAAAAAAACATATCACCAAATTAACAGCCTAAAATTGTGATGGAAAAAATCCTGCACCACCTTGGCTGTTATTTATCATTATGTTCTCAAGAATCCATCATAAATGGATATAAATGGTACATCATCATGAATACCATCTATGAATACCATCCATCAAGAATCTATGATCATTAAAAATCATATAATCACCATCAACTGCAGGATTTCCTCCATCCTCTACGCTTCCCAGCGCGTCCACTCCAGCCCCCGCGCACCGCGGGAGGCGTCATCTGCGGCGCTCGGCATGCCAAGCAGTGCAAGGCTGCCGCAGAAACGGCGGGATGATCGTCTTCCACCTGAGGCAACAGACGAATGATGGACATAATGGGTATACTCCAATAGTAATTATGGGACTAATCGTATGGATATCTAATGGATAATATTTCACTAATAAGTATACCCTGTCATATTTCAATATTTCACTAATGGGTATTTCATGGAGTTTTTTCATGGATGCCAAATATGTAACAGAATGCTATTGAAGCCATGGCCATAGAAATAGTTGATTTACATTGATTTACCTAGTAAAAATGGTGATTTTTCCATAGTTATGTTAAAGCTTACTGGAGGGTAAATTATCATATCTCAATAAATATGTCACTAACTTGAAATCTTAAGCCATGTGGGGATGATTCCCCTTAACCAGGTCACTATAATTTACCCAGAACAATTGGATAAAGAAAAATGGATTGTTTATGTATATATATATATGGATAGTTAATGAATGATAAATGACTGAGTTCAAGTTCTGATTTTTGGTAATGTTGAAATCACTACCATTGCTAAGTATTCCCATTGTTATTGATAATCATTATCCCGTCAGTTAGGTACGGGGTGAGGCCCCACCCCCCCGGCTATAAGTTGCTTTATAAAGCCATTAGCCATAGTGATATCCCCCCTAAACCCAATTAATGGATCATGATTTATAACCCATGGATAATTACTGAATAATAATTAACGGATGATAATTATATAATGACAGGATATAATAATTCATGGATGATTTATGGATCGATGGATCATTGCATAGACTATGATAATTCACTCAAATTAAGGCAAAGTGTCTGAGGGGAGTCAGCCATGATTTGGAAATGCTCAGGGCACCCGGGATAGCGAAATGGCAAGAATGTGGCTAACCCAAGAACTGGTTATGTATGGTGATTTGTTTATTGGTGGTTTTGGTTGACAAAACAACAACTTTCACTATGGACCAAACTTTGAACAACACCATATATTATGAATGACCATTTCCATATGTATACATATGAGTATAAATATTATATATTTATATATGTGTGTATGATTATATATGATTATATATTACTATATATGATTATATATGACTATATATGACTATATATGATTGTATATGATTATATATGACTATATGTGATTATATATGATTATATGTGATTATATGTGATTATATACATATGTATATAATTGGTTTAGTTCCACCAAATGTATATAATTTGATCATATGGTTCAAATGGTTTGTCATATGGCCAATGGGATCAATAGGATCAATAGGAATAGGGCTTGTCTTGAAGGTTTCTTGATGTCTACCGATTGATTGGTTACATTTCAAATTGCTGTTTTGGGAGGTATCACCCAATTTCTGAGAACCATTTCAGTAATCATCGTAATCAAGAAATCTTTGAAGCAAATGTAGCTTTGGACACCCGCCTGCAGGACCAGCTGTGGCCAAAGATTCCGCACATCACCTGGCCGGAAACTGCCGCCAAAGTCAGCCACTGTAGAAATGCAGGGCTTGGCAACGTTTACATCATTTTGGCCGGGAAATTGGATGGATCATGTCCAACTACCGTCTATCGTCTTTTTGTGTTTTGTTTCATGTTGTTTCCATTTCGCGGAATGCAAACTTGGAGACAGACGAACCCCGGTTTGGTGATTCTACATCTTTAGATATTTTTAGCACAAATCAACTCACACGTGAGATACGGTCCCGCCAGCAATGGCCACATTTATCCATGAGGCCGCTCCGGTGCATTCTTGCATCTATCCAAGCCGTTCCCGACACAAATGAAACGTAACCCACTGAGACATCGAAATAGGCATCCCCTAGCCTCTGAACTCAAATTTCGGTGACCCACGAAACAATGTTTCCCCAAAATGCCCCAAACATTCAGAAATGAGGTGTTTTGTGTTTCATCCATGAGCCATTTTTTCAATTTGTGCCATAGACTCGTTTCGTCACACCCGAGTCCTTGAATTCGCTTCAGGTAAACACAACCATGTCAATATATTTCAAAAAGTCAAATTCTCATGATAAAAAATGTCATAGATTTGTCATAGATCATGAGATGAGTAATTGTATCATGAGTTAAGTCCAAAAAGTCATAATCAATCCATATTATACATGATAAATTGATACACATCTGATAAAAATGATCCACCATTTGTTGACCAACTGATAATTTCTGATAAGTTATCATCAACATTGCTTAAAAAAATCAACTGGGGTTCTAAAAAAAAACCTAACTTAAGCTAACTATGACATCTGGTGACATGAAACACATTGAAAAACACCAGCCATCTGCCATGCCATGTCCCCACTGTGCCCTGGGCCCACGTCCGCCTCGTTCCGCCAGATGTTCCAAGCACCGCACCCGCTGACGCCAGGTCTTGGGCGTGTCGCTCCAGGCCTCTGCGCCCGCGGAGTCCTCGGTGGGCCTGAGACGAGGGGGGTTGGTAGACCATGGTTTTACCATGGTTTTACATATTAATGCGTGTTTTGTTTACCATGGTTTTTACCATGATGTGCGTTTTTTTTTTCGATGTTCTAACATGTTTGGCCAATCTATAGATTTTGAAAGGACGTGTCTGAGAGTCTGTGCAATCTATTTGATTTTGTCTGCTGATTTATTGAATGAATGAGGGTTGTGGTCATCCACATCTTTATATCAGGGTTTGGATGAAAACTACAGATGAATACGGAATCACTCTCCTTACGTCCTACATTTACATTACTGCAGCAACTTCAATCAACTGCATCGTCCTATCTCTCTCTCTCTCAAGTAAATCACTATTATCTGGTGGATAAAATCCTTTTGTCTCCACGCCAACCATGCCTACTAAGCCAACCGACCCACCCTAGGTATCCTCCAGTAAACTCAAATGGTTGGTTTGAACACATCTGTCACAAAACATCTCTATCAATCTATCTACTACCTGTCTGTGTGTCCACCTAGTTTTCTGTCTATCTACCACATATCACCATCTATCTAGAGAGAGAGAGAGAGAAACAAAGGAAAATGTGGATTTCTATTGCCACGTTAGATTACCAGAGGATAACCTGTTGATCACTGGTAACCAGTGGCTATACCCTGCGCCGGCAACAGCTCTTGCCTCACAGGCAACGGACTTGCGGCAGTAGGTTCTAGCTCCTGGTGACCGTGCGAAGCTCCAACCAGAAACCCTGGCAGTTTCAGATAGTTTACGACCCTGACCCAGCCAAAGACCAGGGAAACCAGGTTGGGTGAACCATGGTTATATAATAGATGTTAATGGTGGTTAACAATGATTATTTGCTTGGAATCTTAAGACCAAGGAAAAGACCGCCCGTCATCTGTCAACCGTGACTCAGAAAGAGATCAGCAGATTCCCAGGTTCCAAATAATTCAGCGGCAGTAGTCCCCGTGACATGTGAAAGTGTAAACCCACATCATCCAGTACAAAACAGCAGTTTGGTACATGAGCGAACGATCAGGAAAATGTGAAAGTCACGAAGCAAAATTGGTTCATCATCATCATCATCATCATCTTCATCTTCATCTTCATCTTCATCATCCTCCTCCTCCTCCTCATTTTCATTGATAGTCCCATGGATACCAAAAGATTAAAGGATTAAATTACCCAGGTTATGCCGTGACTGGTGGCCTGTGGGCGGCGGCTTCACTTTTATCCTTCATTCATGGTCGCCGTTTGCAAATCTGTGCCATTTCTTTACACATCTGTGCAGGTGTGAATTTGTCATTCACATTTTTTTTGCGTCTCCACACCCTTTTCGTGACCGGGTAACCCTTCCTGAGCCCCCCCGGCCCCCCCGCCTATATATATATATACATATAACATATAACTATATACTGACTATATATGTTTACATGTTATCAACTCAACTAGGAAATGATGTTTTCCATCCGACTGGACCATGAGAGTCCCCAGTATCAAGGCCTTCTCGCGATATCCGAACCAAACGAGTGAAAAGCTCCCCATTAAAAACCTCCGTCAACAGATCAACAAACGGCTAAATCCACACTTCATCATCCCACTGTCTGTATCAGTAGTCAAAATACCTCCACTAAGCTAAGTCAATGAGAAAACCCACTTCATTTGACACCAATAATCATTCAACTACTAATGCGGAACACCTCTGCAATAGTCATCAATACCCCCTCTTCATAATCCCAGTACTTAGTTGGCGGATCATCCCAGTTAGTATATAAATGGTGGAAAAAAGCTCTGGTTGATAAATCTCCGTTTCAAACGGGCTTGCCCATTTATAAGTGGCTTGCAAGTAGGGTTACTAACGAGTTCTGATTGGTTGGATGATCCTCCAGGTAATACTAAGCAACCCCAGAAAAAAAAGCCGAACAAGTTCAATTGAACTCTATTTAACGTAGGCATTTACTAATTATCACTACTTTTATTTAGTCTGTACCAACTTATATCCCAATGTATCACCATTATACTACCGTTTTTGTTGTTTACCCATCATCATTCATCATTCTATAATATTATATATACATATTCATCTATATTCCCATTCATATTTTATTCACACCCCATTATGTCAAGTCAAATCATCATATTTTCCTGGTTGAATCCCACAAAGTTTGTTTGTCTCACCCTTTTTTCTGGGTTAAATCAGTTAAATCAATAATTAATCAGTTACATCCTTATCTTTAGATATCTTTTTGTAGGATTTTTTTAATATCTCCCCATGCCCCATTGATCCCATCATGCGGCCTCCGTTGGGCGCCTTCGCCAAGTTCTTCAACTCCTCTGGTAGCCTTCGCCAGGTGTCTTTTGGTAGCTCCTCCCGGGCGCTTTGGCGGACCTTGGCCAGGAAATGCTGGGGAACCTGGGAGGATTTTGGTGGAACATTTAAGGGAAAACATATGGAAACATATGGGGATTACCTCTTTCAGATCCAGCTTTCAGATCCAGTTGAAGTATCTTGAAGATCCGATCTTAAGGATACAGTACACCTGATCAAGTCAAGTGTTCAGGTCCAAAGAAAGAACTGTTTTTTTAGTAAAGGTATAGTGACGATTATTAGATTATGAAAAGAACAAACAATCATAATATCAACATATAGCAACTAATGATAATGAACATAACAGTTCAATTGGTCTCGGTATGGGTCAACATACCCACCAGAATGGATGGTTTCACAAAGATTGTAAAGACTATAAATCACTAATTGTGTGGGTCCATTATGTCCATTGGTAACCCAATTCTGAGTCATACCCGTCATACCCATGAGATGTGTTTGCCAACGGCTTGCTCACCAAACATGTAGCCTTAGCATTGCAAATTTCAGCTCAAAAAATGAATCTTTAGCCGGGTATGAACCATGCACCTATGAGGAAAAGTACTGAACTCTCAATATTGTAATATATTGATATATATTGTCAGTATATTGTACCCAATTGGGCACCGTTTATTTTAATAGTAATGAACGTGTACCCATCATCTTACCACAGAAATAAATCCACCGACGTGTTTTGAATCGCCAAGTGACGAGGCGCAGCATTTCTTGCCAATCCTCCGGCTGAAGCACAGCCTGCAGATCTCATCCCGACATTTTGACGAAAGTCAAATCAACTCATGATCGGCTCAAGAGTATCTGGAAAAATCTTGGAAAAAATATTGATCATCTTAGATCACAGAAAAAATACTGGATAGATCATGATAGATCTGGAGTTCCCTCCGAGTTCTTCCGTTGACAAAAAAGGAGTATCAACTTCAAGGATCATCCCTTTTTCGCGACCGCTCCGCCTGACAGGCTGCCAGCAGGTGAACTTTTCCACGTGACAATGTGGCGAAACGCTGAAAAAACGTCGCCTGTACCAAGAAAATGTGTGGTTTTCAATGGGAATTAATGTATATATATATATAATATATATATATATATATAAGATATATAATATACTAACATAATATAATATAATAATTGATATAATAATATAATAATATAATAATATAATAATATAATAACATAATACAATAATATGACATAATATAATATAATATAATGTAAATATATATATATATAATGGGGTATGATGACATGAGATATGGATTGGAATATTTCACAGACCATGGTTTTTTCTGTGGTCTTTGATTCCAGTCAAAACTGAGCCAGGTTCTGAGCTGTGAAGCACATCCACCGTTTTTGTGACCTTTTCCCAAGTTGCCATTGTTATGGGCTAGTATCGATTAGCCAAAAATGATGCTGCTATTGAGATTCATGATGGGCACATATGAGAACTGAAAATCATAATCAATAAACATCAATAAACATCAATAAACATCAATAAACATCAATAAACATCAATAAACATCAATAAACATCAATAAACAAAAGACTCATAAGAAAAGATAAAACAGGTATACCTTTGGGAGAAATCCACCTCGAACTTTGCCCACCTGGTGAGGTGCAGATGACCTTTCGGGGAAACAGGTGGTTTCACACAGTTGATGCGCATCAACTGAGGCTTCCCGGGAAAGATTTAGCAACTAGCAAATCACACATAATTCACCAAAAGAATTGGACATGTGATGACATCAACATACAACTTAGGAAGATTTCATTAGGCCCAATAGGCGGTATTCACGAAGGAATTGTCAAAGGGATTCAAACAGCAACAAACATGAACATGTTCACAAACCAGCAACCGAATGAGGAAATGAGACGATGACAACGACGACAACAACGACAACAACAACAACAACAACACTACAACCACACTACAACAACAGCGCAACAACACCACATAACACAACAACGCTACAACAACGCTACAACAACACCGCAACAACACCGCAACAACACCGCAACAACACCACAACAACACCACTACAACACTACAACAATCACAACTACAGCTACACTTATTACGATGATGGCATACAACATTGACGAAGCGAACATGGTGAATATAGGTGAAGCAACCAATTTGGGACGACAAAATGTCCCTCAATTTATTGACGGGGTGTATAATAACAATTCAAATGTGCTGATGTAAGCCAACAAACTTGCGCAACAATGGGCATGAAACACTGTCAATCCTGCGGAATCCAAACAGAATACAATGAGATAGGGATACCACCCAGAAATATGTTTAAGGATGTTGAAGGATGTTGAAGGTCATATGCGTGCGGATCCTGGCTCTGACATCTTGATCCATACATATCCATACAAAAAAAGTGGTGCTTCTAACTGCTGATATGACTAATTCTTGAAACTAAAACAGAATGTACACCTCGGGAAACCTGTGATATGGATAAACTCTTGGAGTCATGGGCTGAAGAACGTTTTTTTTCATGTTTGCTGATAGAAACAGTCGCCACCACAAAATCCATTGGCGATTTCGACTTGAAAACCGCCCAGGATGCCCGCAAAATCTGTCAAAATTCCCACCTCTCCGTGCAAGCCAGACAGGCAGCAACCAACTCTGAGGCCTTCAACTAGTGATTCGGTTCGCAATTTGGCAGGGCATGGGTCAAACTTGAGGTATTCATATACTTCAGATATACATATATATATATATATATGTACTTTAAAATTAGAATATCTTTATAAACTTTATAAACAACATTTTGACGAAGAAAAATGTGTATTTTGATCTATTTCTTTGTGGCACCAAGGGGGACAAAGGTTTACCTGGTAAACCCAGAATCTGTCGCCCCGCAATCAGGCAATCAGGGTCCCTATTGCTGGTGAAATGCCAATGGTCCCTGTCTTCGTGTCTTCATTTTTTTGTTTTCCCAATTCACATTGTTGCTGATCAAAATTCACCATGTGTGCTTCAATTCACACATTTGTGCTGGTCTTTGAAGTGCCTGTTTTGATTGAAATAAATCCCTGCTCTGCTTAAATCGCACTTCTCCACGGTGGACCTTCCAATCTTGCTGATTGAAATCTCAAGCACCGATTCTGGCTGGACTTCAGCTGATTTGAAACGAATGAGTGGTGAAATATGGTGAAGCCCCATGTTTCTCATGTTTTCTGGTGAATCTCTCCCTGTTTGTTTGCTTCAAACCCCCTCATTTCTGGTTTCAATCCATATTTTTGTTAGTGACGAGTGAATCTTCTTGCTGAATGAGATTCCAATCTCCTGGAATCATGTTCCACCTCATATGGGACCCCAAAAATGAAGAGATCAACTAGATCCAATACTAAATCAAATGGTCGTTTGGGGGTGTTTGGGGTGTATTTAGATGTATTTATATATACCCTATTGGCCTATGGCTCTTTAATATAGCTATGGAACATCACCATTCTTAAGAGGTAAATACAAGTAAATCATCCATAAATGGTACATTTTCCATAGCTATGTTAAAGTCAAAGGGCATATATAATATAATATGATCCGGGGGCAGGGATTGCCGTTGAGCGTGAATTAACAGTGACATCTGCGGCTCTTTTCGGGCGGTTCTGTGTGGAATTGTTAGATGACCAGTAAAACCAACATTGATAAGGGATTTCCCAGCCAGCCACATTTGATTACCAAATGATATGTTTTTGTTGCCCTGAACTTCAAATCATCAACAAAAACACGCTACTAAAATGGCATATTTTTTTTGATTTTTCAGCAAAATCCTCTTACCCTCTGGAATTTTCACATAGCAATTCACCATCATCAAAAACGGTAATTTTCATGGCCATGGCTCCACCGAGTCAGCGGACCTCATGGGCCACCAATCCAGACGCGCAGCTCATCAGCCGCTCTGCCAAAGGTGCCAACCAACAAAGCGGCACCGGAACGCCGGAGTCTTCCTCACCTGGCACATGAAATCCCATGGACAAAAATAGACAAAATATGACAAAATTCAGCCAGTGATTTTTGTTTGATATTGAGAGTTTGTAAAAATCATATCAAGAATCCCCCATGTTGATGTTTCAAGTCATCATTTCATATTATTTCTATTGGTTCAGTATGATTAAATCACCATTTGTCTTGGTTAAATCATTAGTTCTACTGGATTCTGATGGTGAAATCACCCTTTATTTTGGTTAAAAATGGTTAAAATCATTATACCTATTGGTTAAGTCATGTGAAAAACTCGATTTGTTTTGGTAAAATCAGAATTTTTATTGGTTAAAAGTCACCATTTTCCACCATTGTTCCACCATTTTCCCATGAGTTCCGGGCATTTCCGGCCTAGCGCTTGCTGTTGCGCCGCTCGGCGGTAGTGCGCCGCCACTGCGCGAAGGGCGCTGACCAGACAGTCGTCGTCCTGGTCCGCGAGCATCTCGCGAAACCAAGGCCTAGGGAGTCGAAAGGAAACCACAACGGTCAACACAAACCTCAAAAAAACCTAAGAAAATGGTGGTTTAACCAAGAAAATATGGGGATTTCATGAGATATATATATATATATAGAGAGAGAGAGAGTTGATTTAGGCTAACTGAATGGGTTTATAACTAGGTTATCTTTGGTTTTGTAGATGTATACTAGATGTATCTATAGTAAATGGTCGTTTAATGGGATTTAAGGAACTATGATTATGGTCATTTATTGGGTAGAATTAGCCATGTTGAGTGATTTAATGGGATATAGTGGGATGGGCAGGGGGAATAATGAGATCAATGATGATATATGAGTAACTTGATATGTAATGGGGTCAAAACTTGGTCTATGCTTTATTGTCATCCATCCCAAAATAGAAATCCTTACAGTGGTTTTACCAATAGCCTATAGCACAATTGATGTAACTAGGTGCATGTATGTGAATATTTACATATATATATATATGATTATATATATATAATTAGTAGATATGTGTATTAAGATATCATAATTTTGTTATGCTGGTCAATATTCTGCATCTTTATATACATATTTAGATAACGTATACTCGTCAACATGGTTATCTGTGATATTGTTAATTGTAATTATGCAATGTGTTTTCATGGCAGATACTATGTATAGTTATCGGGAATTGTCGTTAAGTTAAGTTATGCGTATACCGTATGTTTTTCCCCACCTGCCAGGTGAGGGTTGTTAGATTTTATCAGAGCTGTTCTCCTCCTCCTCCTCCGCCTCCTCCACCTCCTCCGCCTCCTCCTCGCAGTCCAGATCCCAGTGGGCACAGCCGGACCTCCACATCCCAGTGGGCACTGCCGGACCTCAACCGCGACTTCCAGGTTGCAGTGGGCACTGCCGGACCTCAACCGCGACTTCCAGATCGCAGTGGGCACTGCCGGACCTCAACCGCGACTTCCAGATCGCAGTGGGCACTGCCGGACCTCAACCGCGAGCTCCAGATCCCAGTGGGCACTGCCGGACCTCAACCGCGAGCTCCAGATCCCAGTGGGCACTGCCGGACCTCAACGGCCAGATAGAATGCCAGAAGATATGCCAGATAGAATGCCTGAAGATATGTCAGATAGAATGCCAGAAGATATGCCAGATAGAATGCCAGAAGATTTGCCAGATAGAATGCCAGAAGATATGCCAGAAGATATGCCAGATAGAATGCCAGAAGATAGGTCAGATAGAATGCCAGAAGATTTGCCAGATAGAATGCCAGAAGATATGCCAGAAGATATGCCAGAACATATGCCAGAAGATATGCCAGATAGAATGCCAGAAGATATGTCAGATAGAATGCCAGAAGATATGCCAGATAGAAAATGTATAAATGCCATGGTGGGGATCTTTCGAAGTGAAGTATTTTTTTTTCCCGGTCGTATTGGATCTAGTCATTGTGGGCCCATAGGGGTCAATTCATAGGGGGATCCTGTGGTCCCAGTCGATGAATTTCCCTGGTTGGTGGTCGACCTACCCCTCTGAAAAATATGAGAAAGTCAGTTGGGATGATGACATTCCCACCTGAAAAATAAAATTCATGATCCAAACCACCAACCAGATTATGCTGTACACAGTCTCCATTGAGTTCTGTTTTTTTTTTCCAGCCACTTGAGTCACCTGGTCTCTGTCGCCGTGTTGAACCCCACTTGAAACTAAAGCAAGCCACGAGATTAAAAATCCACCAGCGATGATAAAAATCATGTTTCCATCATGATTGGTCATTCAATATTTCAATCATTGATTCCCTCAAGCATTCAATGATGATGATGATGATGATGGTGATGATGATGATGATGATGCTGATGATATGCTGGCTGGTGGCAAATATGTTCCAAAATCATAATGTTGCAATAAGATTATTTGAACACCAACATGATTATAACATTATTAAAACATTATCATGATGAATAAACGGGGGGGGGTCCCTAAAATTGGGCTAACTCAAAGCCATGGGTTTCAAGGTAAAAATTGTCTCAGGGCTTGAATGATTGGGGGTACCCCTATCTTAGGAGACCCCGAAACACTGAGTAAATATAACGCACAACATTGATCTGGTTGGTGGTTTCAACCCCTGTGAAAAATATTACAATTATTCCCAATATATGAAAAAATGTTCCAAGCCACCAACCAGTGATAATATTGTCATCATTATAGCGTAAATTCTAACGGCATTGGTCAATAACTACTTATTATAACATACTAAAAAGTGTTAGAGATCATAACATCATCATTGGTTTAACAACATTGATTATACCATATCTATTACTGTATAGACTATTGGTTATATTTGGTTATTGATATCATACTAATATTACTATTGACTATAGTACATGACTATTGATATCTATTGGTTATTACATAATAAGTATTACTCATCATCCTTGCTCATAATGATATATTATGATGCTATATCATTACATAATATTATGGTATATTATATATTGATTATATATTCAGCACAAGTAATAATATCATGAGCATGGTATATTACCAGTTGATCATATTGGTATATATTCATTACTATTACTACATGGTACCAGTAACCAATATTAATATACCATAATGTACTATATTACTATACTAGTTGTCATCATCCCAGAGAGATTCACCAGAGCCGCATCCACCGGGTCACGCAAAGTCTTCCACTGCTCCACCCGATGAGATCCACATCTCCAACTTCTCGTACTCGCGACGCCGCAGGCTGGCCTGCTATCGAAGAAAGCCGCAGGGTGAAAAAAGTGGAATCTCTCCAAGTTATGGCTAGGAATTTAATAACGTATAACAACACATATGTATATATATATATATATACGTATATAAATATACATAACATGTATAAACTTAATATAAATCACTTACAACCAATGGTATGCACATCCAAGTAGATGTCAAGATATGACCAGGACATTGAATGGAATGGAATCTATAGTGTTCGTAGTTGGAAGGATATCAGAGAACATTGGCTGTATCGCTCTGATGAATCATTGGGCTGCATAGATCTTAGATATACATTGTGCAGATAGTTTTGCTTCAGGATAAAGACATCATATTCAAGGATTGAATGGAGAAGGGGCTTTTATTTAAAGTCAATCGTCAAATCAATCTATCTTTAGGAAATAAGCGCGAGAAGAGGGTTCAAAGAGTGCTGAGAAGTACCCGCCTGACGCGTGCACCTTTGTTCACTAGCGGGCACAGTAAGAATGTCCAACAACATGGCTAAACAAATCAATGCCTCCAGAAAAGAGGAACGCGTGGAGGAGCTACATCAGTTGTTTGGTACTTTCAACCCATCCAAACATGATAGTCACTATATTATATATATATAATATCATCCTTTGGATGGATCATCAAGAAACTACTTATGCAAATCCAACCCTTAGAAAACTGGAACTACCCCAAAAAGAAGTTCTTGTTGGAGTGAACGTGCACCACCGCTTGGGTGATGTTGGAAATTCCTACTGGTTTGCAGTCACAGGGTGCATTGAGCCCGGTGGTATATGAAACCCAGAAACCATCAACGAAGCAGACTTCTGGTGTGAGATTTATCCCAGTGTTCTCTGTTGTTAGCCGTAACTAGCTATCAATATGTAAAATATTGTAATGTTAGGAAAGACGCAACTGGAGATGCTTACCATATCTTACCATGGCTAATTTTGGCGAATCTTAGATGCCCCAAACTTGTATAGACCCTCCGCCTTTTTTAAACATCGCAGCGATCCAAATCCATGGATTTCCCCGGGGGAATCATCCACCAGTCTGGTCCAGCCGGAGGAAATTTGGCGAAGACCAAGGTGTTTACCCTCTGGTTATGTCAAAATAGCTATTGAAAATGACCATTTATAGTTGATTTACCCATTAAAAATGGTGATTTTCCGTAGTTATGTTGGTTTACCAGAGGCTAACATTTTTTGGGAATGAAGATGATGCCAAGCCGCCTTTGTCGACACAAAGGCGTCCTCATTGGGCGTCGCCAGCGCGCTCCTATCTGCCAGGCATATGAATCATGGTCGCACAGGTTATTGGTGCCTGTTCATGCTCAGCCAGCTGTAGCCAACACCCATTCTCAACTGGATCCACATAAAACAGCCGATCTACAGAATTCTGCCAGTCCAAGTATTAGAACCTGTAAGCGCAGTGTTATGTTGTCTTGTGAATTACTGCAACCAGGACTGATCATTTCCCTTAGAGATGTATGATACATGGGTGGTATGGGTCGGGGCTAGAAAGCGATACTTTGTGGGTCACCTCGGTCACCTGCCAATAAGACTGGCTGGGATCAGGTCAGCAGTGCAGTTGGCCAATCCCTGGCTTCGCGGTATGTGTGTTTCTATACAAGGTGCCACGGGGGACTTGCATAAAGGCTAGGGACGCAATCAGGAGTCAAACTTTTCTGAATCTTTACAGTATTGGTATGATTTGAATGGAAAGAACATGAAAAAAACATGAATAAACAAAAGTCTATTGATGGTTACTTGAAACAATCCCCATCTCATTGGAATAGCATGCACATACACATAGTCAGCTTGTTGTACACCCAATGATACATATTACGACATACTTGGGATTCCCTGGAAAAAGGGTAGCCCAAATAGTCAGTGATTAATCAGCATTTTCACTAGTAAAATTAACATGTTTATATGTATATTATGTATATGAGCTGCGAACCATATTTGTTACATAACGCAATTGACGGGGTGTTCCTACCTCGTTCTCCAGTCCCGTAACGTTTTTGCCTACCTCGTTCTCCGGGTGTTCCTACCTCGTTTTACAAGCTAAAAATGATGTTTTTGACAAACCGGGGTACGCCCGAATACTACTTTCCATATACGCAAATAAGAGCCGTCGCTCATATATATATATATATGTGTAGATATTCTTTGGGCTATACCACATTTTAAGATACCCAAATATCTTATTGTTAGCTGTATGACCCATGATATTCCCATCATTTCCCCCCCATGTTCCCAACTGGGATCCCAAGCGAAGGGGAGCCTGGAGATGGACTGCTGGACTGGCCCTGGCGCGGCGATCAAAGCGAAGCAGCTTGGGGGTTGGATGGGTCGAAATGGTGCGGTTTTTAGATGAGTTGGCATGTTTTGCAAGCAATGAGATATAGATGTGGTCAATTCATGATGTTCATAGGGGTAGAAGTTTGACTACAACGTAGACAATGATTCATGATGGCATCATAGAAACCAACTATCAAACATTCACCTCAAAGAAACTGCCACTGTGGTTCCATTCCATGGGGTCTACAGAAACCCAATCGTTGTAGAAACCGCTTTGTCTATGCCCTGATTTTGGATGAGAAACTCATCGATTCCGAGGTGCCACCTGGCCCCTGCTTCGGACCCGGCGGAAGCCTGTCTTGGTGATGGAAACAACTCTTGCGGCCTTGTCGACTTGGCAAATCCCCGAGATGCACGCGGGGGATCAAAATTCGTTGGCCCCAAAGATGCATGGCTTAATACTTTCCATATGACTCCCATGACACCTGTGTTTTCAGATGTAATCTGACATACATTTTGTTACTGCACATGTTCGGACGTTTATCCTGGCATGTACTCTGACACATGTTTTGACATAGTATATTCTGAACATGTAGTCTCAGTTAGAACCAGATTCTGACACATACTTTGACATACACTTTGACACGTAGTCTGACATGTAGTCTGACATATATCCTGGCATATACTCTGACATGTAGTCTGACATGTAGTCTAACATGTAGCCTAATCATTAATCTGGCGTAAACTCTGACATGTATCTTGGCCAAAAAAAAAACTGGCAATTTCGTGTGGCATATATTGGTGTCCATGTTGACATATAGTGTGATGTTTCCTCTGGGAAATGTCATGTGAGCGGGTTGAACATAGACACATATTTGATATTATTTGATCATATTTGAAACATGTTGAAACCACCAACCAGACATGTATATCAAATAGTAGAATCCCAAATTGGTTGGCGGCTCACTTGTCCTGGTAAAGTCCCCATCCCATGAGTTCACAGGACCCAAAACCCCAAATTTAAATCTGTACATTCTATTGGTTTTCTGTATACTAGCAACCCCAAATCGGTATAATAAGCTCTAGTGATCCACTCATCCGAACATCCAAACATATATATATATATTATAAGTTAATATAATCTGTAGTCATCCGAACATGTATCCAAACAACATCAAACAAGCAACATCTATGGATCATGGGACAACATCTCGGCCTGGGTGACGCTGGGCTCCCATGAAGCCGAGATGGCCTGGCAAGTTGGTGTCCCAGGGTCTAGACACATGACATATGTAGGAACTAAATTATATGCAGTGTCTCATCAAACACATATACATATACATATACATATATATATACATATACATGAAAAAAAAACATGAAAATATCTATTTAATATATATATATATATATAATGTCTCAAAAAATCACCATATACTCATGTACATTAATGATCATTAATGTAGATTCATGCATGTATAATATAATTCAATGTAGCTCATATTTCATCCATCTTGATCCTTTATCATCCTTCATTATGATAATTCAATATGAAATCGCCAAATCGAACGGATCATCTCGCGATGAGAAAATGCTGACATCACAAGGGGAGTACCATCATCCCATCGTACAAACGACGGTGAAACGCATATGATCAGCTACTGCAAATCTTACCCTAATCTTAGATGCCAAGAAAAACGGGTGAACAAATCAATCTACCCTCTGGTAAACAAACATAGCTATGGGAAATCACCATCTTTAATAGGTAAATCAACTATAAATGGGCCATGCTCAATAGCTATGTAACAAATTACCAGAGGGTAGATAGTTCTTGTCATCGCGGATGACTCAACTTCAAGTAAGTTGTGGGGGCAGGGACACCAAGGGGGAGTTCCATGTTCGCAAAGTATTTGTGCTGATATAACCCACATGATGGGAACAAACTGCTCAGTATATCTATACATATCAATATTAATGCAATATGCATTCAACATCCATGACATATCCATAGAATATCAACATCCGTGACACATCCATAAATACACATAAAGTGCCCACTACACTTCCATTAAGCATATTGATTAAAGGTAAACCATTGTGAAATACCCCTTTCAGCTTTTTTGTAGATGTATTGACACAATTAACTTTGTTGGTTAGCTATATCCCAGTCAGTTCCTATGTATTGTTGTCTGTCTCTCTGTTACCTCATTATTTTCCCCCATTAAGTCCCACTAGAACCCATTTGCATATCCCAGAAATCTCAGATTGTTGGTTCGTTATAACTTATATCATGTTATATCCCATAAACTGCATGCTTACCCCATGTTACCCCATGAATCACCATTAAAATCCCATTCAGCACCCATATCGTTCATTATATCACACTATATCACCATTCCATCACCAGAATCCTCCGATCATCAACCATGGCTGCAAGATCCCTTATGAAATACAGACCATTTATATTTATTTATCAGTCATATAACTGTTAATATGTTATATCCCATGAATTGCTTGGTTTTTCCCCATGAACCCATGGAATTCTCCATGAGTCGAACCAGGACCTCCCGGACGTCGTCGAACCAGGACCTCCGGTTGCTCCACTGCTGGCGTAGTTTCTGCAGCGGCGTTTCCGAAGCCGGGCCGAACTCTTCGCTGAAGTCGAAGTCCATTGGTCCTCGCTGAACGACCAGCGTTAAGGCCGTTAAGGGTTGAATTGGGGGAGTTATATAACTAGCTTTCTTCGGTAAAATCAGGAGAAATCAGGATTCGATGATTTAAGTGACTTAATCAACGAAAAAAGTTGGATTTAGCTGTGATTCTAAAACAAAAAAGGGGATATAACCAGGCAAAAACATGCAAAATACGGGATTTTGATAGGTTTGATGGTTTCTGTTGGTTTATACCTAGACTAAGCAAGACTTATGAATAGTTATGATAGATGTATCTACACTTGGAATCCATTGGAACCAATTTTTTAGCCGGGGGGCCAACATTGTAAAGGGATTTGCGACCAGCTAATATGATTAACCAGCATTTAACCAGGCAAACTGTTGGGATCTGGCCAAAACACATCTTCAGATTAAGCGGAGATCTAGACAAACAAGAGTCTATATAAACATATATAAACCATTACTATAAATAGTTATAAGACTTTTGAAAAAAAACATGAAACAAGTATCTAACCAACCAACCAATTGGATTGGAACAGCAAACTGACATCTGAGCACTAAATTTAACCCCTGTGCCATTCCATTTGACTGGCTGGTGAACACCGGGAGTCCCCATGGATTATGGTAATCCCCAACACAGTGTAGTATACCCCCTTCAATAATCACCCAACTGGAGGGCTGGGTTGAACTCACCGAATGCCAGGGCCATCTTTGCACCCTCAAATCTCGTCGATAAATCAAGTTCCCCATTACAAATGTAGCACATTTTTGTGGATATAAATCCAACAAGTTTTGGACAAATCCCCATTACTTGACACTTGACATTATCTATGGTGGCAAATCAAAATGCCGACGCCAGTATCTTCATCATCTCCCATCCTCGTCAGCTCATCGTTTGTGGATGCCACATGTTGTCCCATGACATGGGATGATCCAACCAGTTTGAATTAATGCCACCCATCTCTCGAGCAGTATGTAAAAGTCTGAAACAGGTTGGCCATTGATTTTGACGTTTAATTTCTTTGAAGTTGGATGACAACCCCACATTGAGGTGGAGTCATTTACGCAGGTCGCAACAAAAAACATCCTCATTACATATATCCACAATGTCAACGTCCTTTGCACAACCGCAGTGCAATGATCTTGTCATCTAGTCATGTTACAGGCAGGCTGCAAACCAATCGGCTTTGGCGGCAAAACACATGATTTGGGGTTGGTGTTGACTACTTCAAAAGTTGCTGATCCTCAGGTCAAACTGGAATCGAATCTATACCCCCTGGCTCTCGAACATTGCCATAGAAAGTGGCCGCTTTGGTTCGATGATTTTGCCCAAAGATGGTGGTCCTCCAAAGGTATGCTTGACTACCGGAGGGTAGTTGTCTCGTGATGAACAACAACCATCAAAATTTCCGTTCGAACTGCATCTTAGAAAAAACAATGAAAAATTGTTACTGTACATTTTGCTATTAATATAATAATGTGCGGCAAAGAAAAATTTGATTACATTTATATATATATATCTATATCTATCTATCTATCTATCTATCTATCTATCTATCTATGTATCTATCTATCTATCTATCTACCTATCTATCTATCTACTATTCGTGATAGCCTGCAAATCAGTCAGTTCTGTGACTCAACCAACGATCTCAAAGCAACCTGTGACGCTGCCACATCTATTTCTTGCAGCCGGCTGCGCGCATCAGCCTGTTCACGATTGCGCCTGCACACGCTGAGGAGGCCAATAGACTGTTAGCCTCTCTTCACCTCTACAGGAACCACCCGTGTTTGTTTTTCATATTTCTGTGGTAAAACAAGTGTGTCCTTTAGATTTTTCCGAGGCCCTTTGTTATCCTTTACTAACCAAATTGGTTGGAATCTGATATTTGCATAATTTACTGTATATGTGTGTTCAAGTGCCATCATGTCGGTTCCAACAAAGAGTAGGTCTACCAAAAGGGAGACTGATTTGGTGAGTGATCGTTTTGACACTATCCACAGGGTAAAGTGCAATTATCAAACCATCATACAAATATGTCACATATATAACATGTATTAACATGTGATATTGAAATCATTGATCATGTTTACATATAATCACTACTATATCTAATATGCAAATATATCTATATATATATAATGTATACATATAAATATCAAATGCATTCAAATGCCATTGAATAGTTACTGGGATATAGATGACATTAGATTTAGATAACTGCGAGAATCCGTCGTCCAATGCATCGAATCGGCCTTTGTAGCTTTTCCAGCCACGTCGCTTCGCGTTCCATCGTCAATTTCTGCAAGACCTCGGTTCCTGGCGATGCAGAAAACCATAGATTTTTTTTACAGTCACATGGGCGATTCAAGCATCAGTTTCAACACCAATTTATGTCTCTATATATATAATTAGGTTCTGGCCCTTGGGTTACCCAGGATCATCATGAATTCCAAGATCTATTGCATAGGCAAATGTCTATTTTATATGGATTTTTCCAATGCTTTTTGTGCTTCTGAAGATGTGAACTCATCATTTGTTGATCATGGGGCGCGCGGACATTTTTGAAAAATGTCCGTCGATGATAAGAATCAATTTAACAAAATGTGTTGTTGTTTAGAGATGGAAGAAGCAAATTCCGTGGAAGGGTTGTCGATTTTGTCACGTGACGTGTCCGTACATAGTCATTAAAATGAGGATGCAAAACCCCTGCGAACGCCAAGGAAAATGGAGATCCATTAATATTCATTGCAAATACCAATACAATCTGTGTTTTCCACAGCGGCCCAAAAGCTGATAGTCACCTTTTGTTGGGCTTTCCACTGCGTCCACTAGTTCCACAAAGGTTTCCGGAAACATTACGATGGACTTGTTGATCCATTTGACGCTTTTTGCCTATGTTGGATGTTGCAATATAACGAAGAACGTTAAGTCGTGGAAAGGACGTTATCACACCCCCGCCACCCCCCCCGAAACCCGACCCCCCCCAACAAACGTGCCGTCGAACAGATCAGCCGAGAGACATGAAGCACTTCCAAAGATGCGCGCACGTTGGCAGAAACGTCGGCCACAGATCACAGCCGCTGCAGCGAAGTAACCATGATATGGAAAGAGATACGTACACGGCGAGGACTACGGCGTCCATCTGAGACAAAACAAGGCCAACGTGCAATGATCAGCCTCAGTGACGCAGTTGTTTGCTCGGGGAATTTCAGGGCTGGCGGGTACAAGTATATGTGTATATATACATGTATATGTAAGCCTTTAATTAAGCTCAAATCAACCCATGAAAATGGGGTTTAAGTTAAAATTAATGAATCGTTAATTAAATTAAACCATCAACAATGGGAGGATTAAACAACCGAGATATTGGCAGATATCGTCAACCCAGTCATTTGGATTAGAATTCTTTTGAAAAGCGCACACCAAATAGACTTTGTCTTGGTGTGTTAACGTTCCCAAGTTTGGCTTGCCTGGTTTTGACCCTCGTCTCCCTTCTCAAAAGCCCATGTTGTTTTGGACATGACCCCTTTCAGTTCATCACTTAATTTCTCTGATGAGGTGATTTTCCGAACAGCACAAGCTCAAGTGCTTCATCCCTTCTACTGCTGTTTGAGGTCAGGGTTCCCATGCTGGCCAGAATCCACAATCCTCACAAGACATTCAGGTTGTGTAACATAATTTAACATAGTTATATAGTAGGAGCACATAGCATTCTGAACCATCAAAAAGCAGGGGTTTCTATTTGGGTTGTACGGTACAACCTGCGTTCATGCTAGTAGATACCCTGCATTGTATGAGCGGATGGGGCCACATCATATCGGGATTTACCATGATTTGCCCCGATCATGTGGGAGTTTGATGGGGATTTCACCAACGATTGGGTTGTTTCATGATTCATATAATGCGAAGCTAGCTGCAGAAAAGAGACGGGGTTTAGTCTGAGTTTCAATCTTGAGAAATCATAGTTGCAAGATGGTGCCCCAAAACGGGAACTGGAACTGTTGGTTTCTTAATATATCAAGCCAACTGTGACAATACTATTGACCATAAACCCAGCAGTGACATATTCGCATTATTAGATATTATTAGCATTTGTTAGCTATAAATCAACTCAGAGGGTTTTTTGGTGATTTCACCGCAGAAAATGGGACGTTTTATTCCTCAAGACTAATGGTGTACTTCTATGTATTTACCATTTTAAAAAAACTGGCGCAACTATGAAATTCATGATATCCATAATAATATTGTTCATACTTAAATATTGTTCATCTCATAATTTGTATGGATATTTGTGTACCATGGATAATCCCAATAGATAATTGATAAATCCCATACCATATTATGGTAATATTATTACCATAGATAATCCCATACCATAGATAATTTACCATAGATTCAACAATTCTGGGGATCTCGTGAAGATAGCCCAGCTGGATGGTCCAGCCTGGCAATTCTCTCAAGGCCTCTTCGACCTCCTGGTGCAGAAGCCGAGGGGCTTGGTACCCAGCCGTCAGCACCTGGAAATGTCGGGAAAATGGTGGGATATCATAGGTAAAAAATGTGATTTCTTATGAGGATTCAATGGGGACACGAACCATTTTCTGGCTCTATAGAAGGGTATTGATATAATTGATATAAGTGATACAACGATTATAACCCACTATAACTATAGTGACTATAACTGACTGAAACATGATGATGTATGGGTGTTTAATCACTCAAAGACATGGGGAGATTTTTGCAAATACATGAATGTAACGGGTGGTTGGCTTAGCACTGACTCAGCACTTATATTTTTTGCAGTTGTCAATTGTGTCCCTCTGGCAAAAAAAACACATACAGAATATATTCGTGGCATATTAGTTTCCAAGTAACGTCATGCCAGTTTCTTCTGAAACTATGAGCTTGTGATTGCCTGGGCTGATTTAGCGCTGCAGGAATTCTCATCGTTTTCAGCTTGTCAGTTGATATGGCATTAAAGTTGACAAACTGAAAGGTCAACAAAATCAAACACGCATTCTCCAAAAAACGGGCTGAATGAAGAGTGTAGTTCTGTAGCTGAGTACCGCATCCCTCCGAAGTTTTACAAGTTGGGAATATGTCAAATCAGGGGTTCACAGAATGATCCTGGTTGGCTAAGAACGGAATGTCCACTTCATGGAGGATAATGATGACAGATATCCTCCATATACCAAGGGTAGGTTCATAACTGCCGAACCGATCATCAAATAACCACCACTTATCAATGACATCCCCATATTTTAGATTGTTGAAAAGTTAAAACCACTAGAAATAACCGAATCACGTGGAAACACATGGAAACACTATTAATACACTATTAAATAATGGATTAAATAATGGTTGAATTCCATCAAATCTGATTTCAATCACCATGATTTCCCGTGTTTTGATCCTTCGGTGCCTGCTGCATGTAGCTCTCGAGGGAGATCGTCACACCTCGGCACGGGCCAGGTGTCGTTGTCAGGGCTACAGAACTATGTCAAAAGAAACATCTTTGGCCCTGGCAAAACTGGGAGAATGAGAATAGTAAGTCGGATTTCACCAACAAAAATGCTAGTTCAATGCGGATTCTGATGGGATTCTAATGGGATGTGAGCGGAATATAATGAGATTAGGGAGATTATCCCACAAATCGAAAAAATTGTTTTCCTAACGCTGTAAGATCGGAAGTCTTCCATTGAAGTGGGGTTATTCCATTCATCTAAATGGGTTATTCAACAATATAACACAATATGTATCTATATATAAATAGTAATTAACCAGTTACTAAGTTGGATGATCCTCCAAGTATCAATTTCTGCCTCTGTTTTGTCAGGGTCCGTAGTTTATGGATGTTTATGGCTATTTCATGTTATTTCAAAGGCCGAAAAATATGGGAAACCATGTTTGGTGGTTCATCTCACTTAGTAAATGGGTCATTATATTTTATATATATAATATACATTTATAAACAAAATATAGTTCATCCCAGTTAGAACTGGACATTGCGCCTATACTTTCCCTACTGACCAAAGCCGCAGCCCACTGTGGTTGTGGCGTTCCGGATCGTGTGCAAGGCTGTGAAAGGGATTGAAGTCATGACCTCGGCAAAGCCAGTGCGACAGATGCTCATTTTTAGCATCAACAAAGACCACTAACTTCAGATATTGCAGGAACTATCCTTTGCAGGAGCCGTCCTTTGCAGGAACCATCCTTTGCAGGAACCACCCTTTGCAGGAACCATCCTTTGCAGGAACCATCCTTTGCAGGAACGACCCTTTGCAGGAACTATCCTTTGCAGGAACGACCCTTTGCAGGAACCATCCTTTGCAGGAACCATCCTTTGCAGGAACCATCCTTTGCAGGAACCATCCTTTGCAGGAACCATCCTTTGCAGGAACCATCCTTTGCAGGAACCATCCTTTGCAGGAACCATCCTTTGCAGGAACGACCCTTTGCAGGAACGACCCTTTGCAGGAACGACCCTTTGCAGGAACGACCCTTTGCAGGAACCATCCTTTGCAGGAACCATCCTTTGCAGGAACCATCCTTTGCAGGAACCATCCTTTGCAGGAACAATCCTTTGCAGGAACGACCCTTTGCAGGAACTATCCTTTGCAGGAACCATCCTTTGCAAGAACCATCCTTTGCAGGAACCATCCTTTGCAGGAACCATCCTTTGCAGGAACGACCCTTTGCAGGAACCATCCTTTGCAGGAACCATCCTTTGCAGGAACCATCCTTTGCAGGAACGACCCTTTGCAGGAACTATCCTTTACAGGAACCATCCTTTGCAGGAACCATCCTTTGCAGGAACCATCCTTTGCAGGAACGACCCTTTGCAGGAACTATCCTTTGCAGGAACCATCCTTTGCAGGAACCATCCTTTGCAGGAACCATCCTTTGCAGAAACGACATCCTTTTGCAGGAACCATCCTTTGCAGGAACCATCCTTTGCAGGAAGGAGCCATCCTTTGCAGGAACCATCCTTTGCAGGAACCACCCTTTGCAGGAAAAATCCTTTGCAGGAAACATCCTTTGCAGGATTCAGGAACGACCCTTTGCAGGAACCATCCTTTGCAGGAACCATCCTTTGCAGGAACGACCCTTTGCAGGAACTATCCTTTGCAGGAACCATCCTTTGCAGGAACCATCCTTTGCAGGAACCATCCTTTGCAGGAACCATCCTTTGCAGGAACCATCCTTTGCAGGAACCATCCTTTGCAGGAACCATCCTTTGCAGGAACAATCCTTTGCAGGAACGACCCTTTGCAGAATACTATCCGCAGGAGCTATCCTTGGCAGGAGCTATCCTTTGCAGGCAGCTATCCCTTTGCAGGAAACGGCAGGAACCATCCTTTGCAGGAACCATCCTTTGCAGGAACCATCCTTTGCAGGAACCATCCTTTGCAGGAACCATCCTTTGCAGGAACCATCCTTTGCAGAAACGATCCTTTGCAGGAGCCATCCTTTGCATCCTTTGCAGGAACCACCCTTTGCAGGAAAAATCCTTTGCAGGAACCATCCTTTGCAGGAACCATCCTTTGCAGGAACGACCCTTTGCAGGAACCATCCTTTGCAGGAACCATCCTTTGCAGGAACGACCCTTTGCAGGAACTATCCTTTGCAGGAACCATCCTTTGCAGGAACCATCCTTTGCAGGAACCATCCTTTGCAGGAACCATCCTTTGCAGGAACCATCCTTTGCAGGAACCATCCTTTGCAGGAACGACCCTTTGCAGGAACTATCCTTTGCAGGAACCATCCTTTGCAGGAACCATCCTTTGCAGGAACCATCCTTTGCAGGAAACATCCTTTGCAGGAACCATCCTTTGCAGGAACCATCCTTTGGAGGAACCATCCTTTGCAGGAACCATCCTTTGCAGGAACGACCCTTTGCAGGAACTATCCTTTGCAGGATCCATCCTTTGCAGGAACCATCCTTTGCAGGAACTATCCTTTGCAGGAGCCATCCTTTGCAGGAGCCATCCTTTGCAGGAACTATCCTTTGCAGGAGCCATCCTTTGCAGGAGCCATCCCTTTGCAGGAGCCATCCTTTGCAGGAGCTATGCTTTGCAGGAGCCATCCCTTTGCAGGAACCATCCTTTGTAGGATCCGTCCTTTGCAGGAGCCGTCCTTTGCAGGAATGACCCTTTGCAGGAACCATCCTTTGCAGGAGCCATCCTTTGCAGGAACCATCCTTTGCAGGAACCATCCTTTGCAGGAACCATCCTTTGCAGGAACGACCCTTTGCAGGAACCATCCTTTGCAGGAGCCGTCCTTTACAGGAGCCATCCTTTGCAGGAGCCATCCTTTGCAGGAGCCATCCTTTGCAGGAGCCATCCTTTGCAGGAACCATCCTTTGCAGGAACAATCCTTTGCAGGAATGACCCTTTGCAGGAACCATCCTTTGCAGGAACCATCCTTTGCAGGAACCATCCTTTGCAAGAAGCATCCTTTGCAGGAACCATCCTTTGCACGAACCATCCCTTGCAGGAACCATCCTTTGCAGGAACTAGGAACCATCCTTTGCAGGAACCATCCTTTGCAGGAACCACCCTTTGCAGGAACCACCCTTTGCAGGAACCATCCTTTGCAGGAACGACCCTTTGCAGGAACTATCCTTTGCAGGAACTATCCTTTGCAGGAACTACCCTTTGCAGGAACCATCCTTTGCAGGAACTACCTTTTGCAGGAACCACCCTTTGCAGGAACCATCCTTTGCAGGAACGACCCTTTGCTGGAACTATCCTTTACAGGAACCATCCTTTGCAGGAACCATCCTTTGCAGGAACCATCCTTTGCAGGAACTACCCTTTGCAGGAACTACCCTCTGCAAGAGCTACCCTTTACAGGAACTACCCTTTGCAGGAACTACCCTTTGCAGGAAAATTTTGGAGCACCTTGTGCTTGCCCCCTTGTGTGATCCAAAAAGTCACCATATCATTGAAGTACGCATGAGCGTCACAATCGGATAAAAAAAAACTTTGAAAATATGCATTGAACTTATTTCCAAATATGTTCAGATATTCACAGATATGTTTGAGTAATATTCATCTATCTATATTTGACTATATCCTCAGTATCATGTAATAATGTCAAATCACAAATATATTTGACTATATATCCTCAATGTTCATCTATATTTGACTATATCCTCAATATCATGTAATAATTTCAAATAAAAAATAGTGAAACTTAACACAGAATAATCTTTAAAAACCAATTTATATAAACAAGATATTAGTAGAGTAGGATAATAGTAACTTATACGATACTTATTGTCCTTGATAAGTTCCTGAAGTGAGAATATCTAAAATTAGTGGTCTAGCAAAAATGAGATAAACAAATAAACAACAGAAAACTATGTCAGCTCAATTTCACCACATGGTTCTTTCAATGTAAAATTTAGTGAACATGAGTTCTTCGCAAAAACTTAAGTGTGACATCGAGTGAGTGGACAACAATATTTTACTGGTTGGTGGTTTCAACTCCTCTGAAAAATATTAGTCAGATTGGATCATCATCCCAACTATTGGGGAACATAAAACATGTTCCAAACCACCAACCAGTTTAAAAACATGACGTCAGCTTTCAAGACATCGAATCGTATCGATACCACCAGCATGGGATGAACCATGAGGATTTCGGCATCGGCGAATGGCGATGTCATCGTTGTCCAAACACTTCAAAATGTGATGCCCAAAGGGCAAAGTATCAAAGTAAAAAACAAAGGAACCCAGTCCGCATTTACTCAGTCAATTTCAGGTTTCTCATCCAGGTAGAGATGGAAGACCAGTCAAAATCCAAAACACACATGTTCCACCCTCCTAACTTTGGTATGTAGGAATCACTCATCATTCCAAAGGTGGAAGATTTTTTCAGCGTCCGCCATTTCATGGGTCCCCAAAGGTGATATTAAGCCTCCTCAAATACTGAAAACATGAATGCTACAAGCTGCTACAAAATAACCCAACAGTTGCGGTTCTTAGAAATTCACACCTCCATATTCTTTTTGATCTTTTTGATTTTTTTTCGATGTGTTCTTCGCTGCATCTTTTGGAGCCCCCACTCCACACTTTGGCGGTGCTGCGCCAATCAGGACCTACTTTGGATTCCATTTGTGTGACTTCGGATCTCTCGGATCTCAGCACATTTCTCGACTTCCAAAATCGGACATTTCGGACATGTTTTCACTTCTTGGAGTCTTCTTGGCATTCTGAGATATTCTGAGGTCACTATACTTTGGATGGAAAAAACTCATGAGCTAACAAGGCTAGAAACTTCAATGGGACGTCCAATGGATTGATCCAAGTCCATGCCTTTCCGTGAAACGAAGCAATTCTTTGATGAAGGCATAACAATTGGTGGCTTAAACCTCGAAGTTAAAAAAAAAAACGGCGTCTAGAATATTCTCCACTTCAAATTGCCTCATCAAGGTCCACATAGGTCCACCATTTTGCAAAGAAAATTCATCAAAATTGTCACCCAAAAATGGAGAGGTCGTTATATGGGCTTAAAAAAAGGGCTTAATCCCGTTGCTCAGATCCCCCCACCGGGGCACCATAAAGGCGATCCAGCAGTTTCTGCGGATCCTTCGGGGCAGGGGCCTGAAACGGCCAAGGCACCTTCGAAAAACCATAGGAAAATGATGGAAAAAAACAGTGAATTAAATAGAAAGCAACAACAAAATGGGGACTGAATGGGATTTTTACAGCTGAATTATGATAGCCAAGTTTGTTGGTAACTAGGTGAATTCTATGGTTTATACTATAGATATAACTATACTCAATGGGGTTTATAAGTGAACAAACATAACTAGGGGGCCCCACCTGATAGTTCTGGTGATTAAATTGGGATTCCTAAGCCAAATGGTGTGCTTTATTCTTCTGAACTTTGGTGAATTAAGCAACACACTTGGTGATTTACTGGGAAGATGTTGTGGGATCTAATGGGGTATTATTCTATGGTGATTATATATCTGGGAAAAACATGGGATTGAAGCTGCTAAAATGGCGATGATGTTTTTGATCCCCAGCTACCCATCGTTCAATAGTTGCCTTCTGGCAGATTATAACAATGATTTCGTTTGCTGATGTCCCAGCAATCTGAGGCTCCAGAGTGAAATGTTACTTGGTTTATATATAAAGCCTTCTATCTATTGATATGGAGTTTCCATAGAAGAGGGGTACAGTACCCCAAAATAGATGTTTTTTTCACGGAAAATCCGATTCAAATGGATGACCTATGATGACCTGATGACCTGGGGGTACCCCCATTTCAGGACACCTGCATATAATTACCATAAACTCGAGTGATTGGAGTGGAAGAAAGGCTATCGTACTGGAGGATTCTCATCTGGACAATGGGTAGATCCTGATGAACGGATTAACGACCATCCCCCAATATGGACAACTTACCCAAGTTCTGAACATGGCACAATATTATCAAAGCCAGGGCATCCATGTATGCTAAATCTACAATCACTTGGGTCATTTTTTTGGGGGTAGATGAGTGTATACAGACCCTCCAAGTACCCTCTGGTAATTTAACATAGCTATGGAAAATCACCATGATTAATGGGAAAATCCACTATTTCTATGGCCATTTTCAATAGCTATGTAACAAATTGCCAGAGGGTATCCTTCAGAATTGTGTGCTACCCCACAATCTGGGTACTTTTTCCCATGATTTGGATGGAATGTATGGGATCTGTGCCATCTGCGGCTTCGCCTTCAAGCCGTGGAAGTCCAACCAGCCTTGCACGCACAACGTGTTGCCAAAAAGGTTGGGCCACTCCACAATGTTGCTGCAATGTTTCACCTCATTAACGAGTTCGATAGTAAATGATAGTAATTATATATATATATATATAACTATAATATATATATATATACACAGCATCTTAGCTAAGTAGGGATGGAAATGAACCGATATGGCTGGACCCCAGTGATTGTCCATGTTTGGTTCCCAAGCCCCGATTCGGGATTGGTTATATCCACGTGTTTTATCCGTATATACACCATGATAAATCACCACAAGTGTCGTTGTCAAATTCGAATCCAGTGATCTTTTTTTCGGAGTCGGTCAAAGCAAAATCCACCACGCCAGCGGATGGTTTCAAAGCCAACAAAAGCCGGTTTTAGACATTGGGGATCATCATCGCATTTCTATGCATTTCTAAGATTGAACATAAACATGTATATAATTGACAATTGATACCACCAATCAGGTAAGTTGTTTTATAACCCCATCTACGAGGCCAATTTCCCCATTGTGGCTCTCATTTGCCGATAATGGCTTTCAGCAACCTTGCATCATCCAATTTCTGTGGTTCAAAAAGACATGAAACTACGAACTTCGAAGAATCATCAAACAGCAGAACAAGCTCCAAAAATCCTCATGTTCATCCATAAATCCACCTCCAAAATCCTCATGATCCATGTTAATCCACCTCCAAAATGAGTCATGTTAAACCACCTTCGTTCTCACGTTGTGAGTTCCCCACTCAATGGAAACACTTCCTCTGCGCTGGGGAAGTCCTTGTCAGGCAACATGGCTTCCTGGCGGAAGCGCCATTTTCGCAAGCCCAGTCTTGTGGGAATTGGAAATATATATATATTATATATATATATTTATTTATTTGTTTGTTTGTTTATTTATTTATCTATATATATATATATATTAATATGTATATGTTAATATGTATAATTATATATATATATGTATATATTACAGAAAGCATCTATAATTTTCTGCAAAATCGTTTAAATCCTACTTTAATGATCTGTAGTGGTAAAATTTAGTATTATCTGGCCCCTTCTGAATCTTTTTATCCTGGTTGCTGTGAGAAGAAACAGCTCCAGGAATATCCACCTATTCAGAAGCTGAGCAACTGGACTCGCGTTAGATCTCCCCATCATTGCTGGTGGACCGCCACACCCGTTTGTTGATATGCGGCTGATGGACACGAGAGTATATTCGATTCCCGGTTGCCCCGGCGTCTTCAAGAGAAGGTGGGTCCACTTGAGACTGCTCGTCGGTGGTTTGTTGATTCCCGGCGAAGCAGCGCTGAAAGTTTGATTGTTACTGTGATCTGTGGCAAATCCATCTCTATATATTATATATTGTATATACATATATAATATAAAATATAATATCTATATAGATATACACATATCGCCTCCCAACAGCCATCAAATTGTATGGCTACAATGCATGTAAATCGCTCAAAATTGATATGCATTTGATTAATCCCATTTCTGTTGATGAAATTCCCATATCCGAAATGGACATGCCTCCAACATAGAGTACCAATGGACATCAATGGACCCACTTCATAAACTGTCCAATGTCATATTTTTTGGGGGCCGTACATTGTGTTGAGCCGTTCGCCAAATCCAGATTCTGCTGGCTTCAAGGAAAAAAATGCAAGAACCCATGCTTTTTAAAACCCAAATATAGAGGATTATAAAGGTTTCTTGTAGATTTTCCCAACTAATTCTCAGATCTCGCCACTTTTCCAACTGTGCAAACGGTGTTAATCCCGCTGGGAACTGCGGGACCGACTGACTGCGGAAGATCAGCGGAAGATCTGCCAGTCACGGACTGGAAGGCTGCGTCGATCCCAATTCGGGGGCCAGTTCTGCATCCAGGGGATGGTTTGAATGGTTTTTAATGGGATTGAATGATGGCTTTATATGGTTTAGATTGGCTTAGTAGTTATTTTTATCTTGGGAAAGTGATTGAATCATAGAATTTAATAAAACTTACCCTCCATTGTTGTCAAACGTGGCGATTGCATGAAAACGTCCAAACTACATTGGAGGTTTACAGCTGTTGAAAATGGCACATAGAAATAGTTGATTTACCTATTAAAAATGATGATTTCCCGTAGCTATGTAAACGTTTACCAGAGGGTGTATATATATATCATTGATCATGTGACATTTCATGACAATGAGGATATGTAACCATATAATTATGATGTGTGTTTCTTTGTGGAATGTATATATATATATATGTATCATGAGCTGAAAGGAACCGCATGAGATAAATTGTTTTAAAAAAATATATAACATAATACATAACTGCTAATATGTGTATATATATATATATTACAGTATAGTATTTCATTCACATATTCAGATGTGTAAATGATACCTGTATACAATTAATATGTCTCATATATATATATATGTCTATAAGTATACATATATAGATAGAATACAAATATATAGTACACATGTACCAAGAAGAAACAAAAATATATACAAATATAAACAGTACCTTCCGGTAATTTGACAGTTTGCTGTGGAACATCGCCATTTTCATAGCTAAATCATGGAAGTAAATGGGCCATCTATACCGTGGACAGTAGACATCTCTCCATCCACAGGGGTGCCACAAGGCCACTGCGTGCAGCCGCTCAAAATTCATCAGCTCGTCTACCAGGGACAAGCCAGCAATAAAAAACAGTTGAACTGTCCAGGGAACAAACGATACGAATTCGACGTATATGTACATATGTAAATATGTGCATATAGTATATATATATATATATAAATGTCATGTATGCATACAGTACAAGTTTGATATCAAATTAAACTCACTGTTGTATAGATATAGAATATCTAGTCTATGTATATGTGCATGCAACTAGGAAAAGAGATAGGCGTAAAAAGACGATGGTTCGAACCATCATCCCAGTCATTCGTTAAAGAATTCCGCTGCTGCTGAGCACTCGCCACCTCGGGTGTTGAAAATGTTGGCGATACTGAAGCATCTGGATGAGTCAGAAGACACAGAGAAATTGGGCTCATATTAATATACATGCACTCATAATCAACATGTATAGTAAAAATGTTCATAGATCAATATGTGATAACAGGTATAATATATATAATATGTCACACAGAAAACATGGGGAACATCACCCTTAAAGGTGATCACATAATCATGCACGCAGATTATCTAGGTCACATGGAAGATTCGGACCTGTGGTGTGTGCGGAACGGGGTCTTGGTCCATTTTTGGCATCCTTGCCATAAAAAGGGGACATAGTCTCTGAGTTTGTTGCTGACACTCCCTTAAAAAAGAGTCCTGTAGCTGGATACACAAAACAAGCCGAGCATCAGAAATCGACATTGCAAATCTCGCAGCGCCACAGCATTGTAGGAACTTCAAAGTGTCGTTCGCAAGCATTGCACTGCCACCCTGCAGGATATGGCTGTCCCATCTGAAGATGAGTCAACCAGAATGGGTAATCACTACTCAACCAGAATGGGTAATCTCTAGCGACTACAATCTTAAAGAAACATCTATGGCTCAAAACCGCTGGAATTCCAGGTTCATCCCCTAGTCTTCACAGCAAAACAGGTATTAATTAATGTCCATCCCCCCAAATATTATGGTTCATATATATATATATAAACATACATAGTAGCTTTTGATCCATCCCTGTGTCAATTTTAAATCCAAGCAGTTGATGTTTCCCCAGGACTATATAGTGTTATATATATATGATTACATTCGCCCCTATAAATGAGATTATTATCTTTGGTGGTTAAGATTTGCCCTTCATAATTCGAAGGGCTGGATGAGGGTTCTCCCTGATATGTCAGAATATCATTGGTGGTTTCTCCAATTTCCCTGATCCTCTGTCTACAATGGGAAAATGTTCATTGCCACATTTAGATTACCGGAGGATATTTGGTAAATCTAACAAAAACTCTTAGCTGCGGGAATGGTAATGTTCATCATTGGCTATATACAGATTATTTACCCATTATATCCCCATTTTAGACAGTCAAATCCCCATTTCATCCATTTTCAGAGGCAAAGTTCTGCAATTATTTGCTAAATCCGGCTGTTTTTGCATCTTTTCTGCATCTTTTCGAGCCTTCTTGAGCCTCTTGCATGTGCAACAAGGCCGCCTCGTGCTCACAATCCACCTGTGCCAGCCGCGGCCAAAAATTGCGCTTTGCACTAGGAAAATGATGGGATTTCATGGGGAAAATATGGGAAAACTAGCCACGATATGGGAGTTTTACGTGTGTTGAATGGGATTTCATGGGGGTTAATGGTGATATTTCATGGGAAAAGTAAAGGAACTTGATGAGATATCATCTCCATTTTCTTCCAGCCCATTGTTTTGGTTCGAAAGACTTCGCACATCTGAAATTTCCTGTCATTGTCGAGCACAACACATGTGGGCGAAAAAAGAACAAAAACAAGCAAGAGCATTGTCGAGAAAACATGCTAACTCCCCAGAAATGGATATTGAAAGCCCCTTTGGACACCATATTTTGTGTTAATTCACTGGAGAGTATGCCTTGGGCCACTCTTGGAACCATCCTTTCTTTTAGCCGTCCAAAATTGACCCCAATGAACACCCTAACAGCCTTCGAGGCATCCTGAATCGCCTGCATTGAGAAGGGCCAAACAAATAACAGCAAATAAATGTAAATAACATGTTTGGATGTGTTTTTGTTCCTATAATTATCGCAATATCATTCCATAATGATTACCATCTGGTTATTTAACATAGCCATGGAAAATCCCTATTTTTAATAGGTAAACCATCTACAATAGGCCATTTTCCATGGCTATGTTAAATAACAAGAGGGTATTTAATAAGAATTGTTAATTGGTCATTGGTCATATCCCCAAGTTTCAGCTCCACCCAAATATCCCTAACCATCTTCAATGTTTTTATTGGGAATATACTCCCTAACAGCCTGCGAGCCTGCTGTTTGTTTGTGTTTTGAAGTACTGGTCAATGAAAACCCAATTGAAATGGCAAATGATGGCAAATGTCTAATTTCCATGTCAGGTGCTTCACTCGAGTAATGCTTGGCGGATCAAAAACCCCCCAGCTGTTACAGCTAGGGGTAAGTAGGGCTAGTCGAGTTCTAACTGGAGTTAACTCCCATAAAGTCTGAAAAAAAAACCATTAAACACCCATGTACTTGGTTATATCCCATTATTTGACCATGATATTCACCATTAAAATCGAATTTGCATATCACTGTCCCATAACTATCATTGACTATCATAGTTACAACTATCCACTGGCTGGCAATGGCTTATAGTGTTCCCTTTCCGATGGTGAACACATCCCCATATCCCTGCCATGATTTCCCCATTCGACGATGATCTTTGCGAAAACTAAATCACAATCCTTGTTGGTTACCCGTTATACTCAAATCTATCCCAATGAGTATTCCATATCTCCAGTCAAATCACCATGTTTCTTCGTTCAATCCCATGAAGTCCTCTTACACCAATAAATTATGATCTCGCACATGGTGAATCAAGATCGCAGTTCTAGCTGGTGAATGTATATTTTACCATTGAAATCGCGAAAAACATGCATTTCAGGTACCGCAATGTGGGGCCCAGTCAAAAGTTGGTTTAATAAACACCTGTAAGTATACTTATAAGATGTTATAAGTACCATAAACCAACTTACGGTATAGTATCATAGTTGATGAGATATTCATCATGGTTTAACTATGGTTATCTATATGTTAATAGTATAGTTATTGGATCTAACCAGTTGGTTGACCCAGCCCATTTCTACACGATTCACCACCTTCTCCGTGCGTCCAAAGAAGGACAAGGCGTCCGACTCCGAGGAATTGCGCTGGCGCCGGCGTTCCTGGTGGCGCCAAGCGGCGTGCCAAGCGGTGGATGATGTGTTTGTGGGTGAACAGCCAGGCTGTTGGGACGGGGACAAATATATAGATATATGTACATATTATATATAATATTATTATTATATATACAGCATTATATTATATATATATGTATATACATATATATTAATCTATTCACAAGTTTCTTGTAGGGTCACCCTGAGGTCACCAATCTATTCACAAGAGGACTTATAAATTGAATACAAGATAATAGAAGTTGATTTATAAGCACAGTTACCAATCTATAAATTGAAAAAGACATGGAAATATAAGCGGATTCATGAATCTCTAAACTAAAGAATAGATTAATTTACATGCGGATGTGAAAATAGATGAACATAGTATATCTGTAAATTGAAACATACAGTAGAATCAGTAAATGAATGTAGACCCGAATTTATACATTTATCGAGGGATTCCAAGTTGCACATTGTATATATATATATATGTATATATATACGAATATTAGGAACTATATATATGAATATTAGGAACTATTTTTAAATATATATATATGATTATAACTATATATATAATTATGTATGTACTGTATGTATATATACATACATATGTGCAACAGCCCATATGAAGGATTTCCTTCGCACACGAGGTATATTAAGATATGGCGGTCCAAAGTTCAATTGCTATCGTGGATTCTTCAATGAGCTAAGAGCAAAAGAGATGGGGGTTGAAGGGGCATGTGCAATAAATCCAGTATATGTAATTATGGAAACAATTCAACTTGACATCGCTTGACCATAAGTATGAGGACACGACCAGTATATCGTGTGTACTTCTCAAGAACAACTGAAATCTAGGCAACCGAAATTGCGACACCGATCCAACCAGAGGCAACCGGATTATTGATATCCACCCTCATAGTAGATGGCCCCCAACAAAAATGAGGAGGGCTCTGAGGGTATCTTTAGAGGGATGGGATGCAGGCCCAAACCATCTGGCAACCCAAACCGGACATCCTTGGAGTGAACGAGGCATAGCTGGCTTCCATGTTCGATGCCAAGATCGCTGAGGTTCTTGAAATCCTGCGTTTCCAGTCGAATGGCGATGTGTAAAGGGAAAAAATATATGAGATATATAGAATATTATTAGGGGAAAGGATGAGAAACCACTGAATGATTCATGAGGTGTTCCCAACATTTTCAGAAAAAACCGATTGCTTTGTGGTGCTCTTTTGAAGTGAAACAATCATTTCCACAGATCCCTTTGGAACATCTAGCTACAGTAGATTTACTCTTGAAAGTCGATCATGAGGATCTGCCAGTTTGTTTGGTTCAGCCTGAAGGACATACATCTTTGTCAAACGGTTTTAAACATAATTTGGGTAAAGAGTCAGAAGTGCAAGAGGTTTTGTCAGTTGTATTCATTTGTAATTTTTGCGATGGTTTCGGTGAGCTGTGCTAGCTATTCAACGCTAGCTCACCTGCTGCAATCCAAGCCAATCAACAAATCAATGGATTGTTTTGGTTTTAAGGAAAAATCTAGAGGAAACTATGCTTTGAAAAACATAGCCTCAACATAGGCCAAATATTGCCCCTTCCGATCTACTCCTCTGCTTAACCTATGGAAAACACACCTTGGTACCTTCAGACCCTTCAGCGCCAGACTTGAACTTTGTATATATCATTATATATATCTAATTTCAAGTTAGGACTAATAAACCCCAACCATATAGCTTGATGGTGTATAATTAACACCCATCAAAATACTTCAATTTTATGGCCTTTTATGGCCGCTTGATTTGTTTAATGCCGCTAGATTTGAAGATCCGCTTGGCCTCCCCGGTGACCCCAAAAGCCCACGGCTGCAGCGGTCCATCTCCGGCTGCAGCGCTGCGTGGTGCATCACCAGACAGCAGCCGCCGAAGGGCACTGCGAAGGCGTCCGCCGCGGCGTGCCGCAGGTGCGCCAGGAGCGAGGTGGGGAAAAAACCGCTGAGTTCCTGGCAGTTTCTTGGAAAATGGGGAAGTGGAGGATGATTTCATGGTGATTTCATGGGGAAATATAGGGAAATATGTAGGGAAATTGTGATGAAATGGTGGTTTTAGATGGATTTCATGGGGAATTCATGGGATTGTGTTGTGATTTATGGGGTGGTCATGGGATTTGATGGGGGGTAATGGTGGAAGATTTCATGGAGAAGTGGTGATTTTTTTCTGCGGAAATCGTGATGACATGGAGGATTTCATAGGAAACTACAGTAAGGAGATGGTAATGAATCGGGAAATGGTGATGAAACAGAGGATTTCATGGGAATTTCAGGAATTCATCGGTATTTCGAGAAGTGATATGGGTGCGTTTGAAAATGTTGTGACAACAACATTCCATCCATCCACTGGTCAAATTTATAATGTTCGAATTAAACTTGCCATAAGTTGGGGGATAGTCGCTTATATCACCATTGCGTCACCATTTATCCCATTGTGAATATATAATTGTATATTATATAAACGTATATTCTATAATTGTATATTATATAATTGCATATTATATAATTATATCTATAATTATAATTAATTATATATATATACATCATTGTCAATAATCCAAGATATCTTACAAAAATTGATGGGTTTCCCATGTCATGCTAAATTTTTGGTGACTCCTGAGTTCCCCTCAGATCTGTCCTTGGTTTGCCCAGACATGGAGCTCACCCAAACCGCCATGGGTCCCTGGCGGTGCTGTCGATGTCGCGTCCACCAGGTTTCAGCCATCCGGGGACGTTGGTGGTGCACCAGGTAGTGCCGCACATGGTCCTGGTGGGAAGATTCACGAGGGATTTAGCCAACAAAAAATGGTAGTGTATTGAGAATATACTGGGATTCTAATGGGAAAATTAGTGAAATATCATGGGATTGTGGGATCATATTGCATTATATGGGATTGTCCCACTTAGTCAGTGGTTGATAACCCGAGGAAGTCCCGATTCAGTGGGCTTATCACATTCATAAGTGAGTTGTAAATATGGTTACTCACTAGCTACGAGACGCGGGACGATCTTTCAAGTATGTAAAACTGGGATAAATATTGGACTATAATGGGATATGAATGATATGCAATTGGGATATTATTGGGATGAACTATTATGATAATAATAATGGGATATAATGGGATACAATGGGATATTATTGTGATTATATTGGGATTATAATTGAGAATCATATGGGATATGAATGAAATCCGATATTAGAGGAATGTAGTGGACAAGGTGGTGCCAGTGAAATGCTTGTCGGTTTATAAAGCCCATACACTACTTAGATATATCTACCATAAACTCCATAGTTTATCTCGTCATAAACCACCCAATCGTACTGGGATGTACTGGGATGTACCACAGTTGCTAACCACGAATCGCTAATTCCAGTAAATCAAAGTGGACATTCTGGAAAACATGTTGAACCTTAATGGTTGACACACACACACATGGGATTAATGTGGTATGGTCATCCATCCCAGAATGGGAATAACCAACCAACCATATATTTATTTGGGTGAAACAGGATAACGAGGATACAGAACCAATCGTGATGATTTATACGGTGGGATTACATTGGGAATCCCTTAATCATGGGAATATGATGGGATCTACATATATACATATATATATACATGTAATCAACTTGATAGGTGTGTGTGTGTGCCATTGTCAAGTTAGACGGAGAAATATGTGGTATGTGCATTCCATGCCATAGGACTCCAAATATCATGGGTATATAAATTCCTATACAAACCCCCAATATGACTTTTGACCCATGGTGAACCTTGGATTTTGATTATGTAAACCACGGGGTGAAGTGACCAAGGATCATCCAGCGCAAGGCCGCAAGGCCCCGGCCGAAGATCCCATTGCAAACATGTTGGGAGTCTCCTACACATTTCCAAAGATATAAACATAATATATATATATATGTATACATATTATGTATACATATTATGTATACATATATAATATTCTATAGAATATATATATAGTGTAATATAGTGTATACACAATATATATATATATACAGTTTAATATAATATACTTAATATATTAGATAGTTAAATAGAAAATGTACATACAGTAACAGTATATGCATATATGACATCTGGACATCCCACGGGGGACCCAACATCGACGCGTCCTGTTGAGCCTCACGCAGCAGCAAGTGGCGCCACATCTTTTGCGCCAAAATGGCCCAGGGCAGAGGCAACAGCACCTGCGACGCAGGTGAACCAGGCAGGATATCGCGATGGTTTTTCACGACGTGGTAAACCCAAGAGCTTCAAGGGATATATATATATGTATATTTAATAAAGTATAATGTATAGTATAATATATAGTATAATATATACTATAATATATAGTATAATATATAGTATAATATATAGTATAATATATAGTATAATGTATAGTATAATATAGAGAATAATTTATAGTATGATATATAGTATGATATATATTATGATATAGAGTATGATATAGAGTTTAATATAGAGTATAATACATAGTATAATATATAGTATAATATATAGTATAATATATAGTATAATATGTAGTATAATATATAGTATAATATATAGTAAAATATATGGTATAATATATGATATAATATATAGTATAATATATAGTATAATATATAGTCTAAAATATAGTATAATAAATAGTATAATATATAGTAAAATATATGGTATAATATATAGTAAAATATAGTAAAATATATAGTATAATATATAGTATGATATATAGTATAATATAGAGTAAGATATATAGTTTAATATATAGTATAATATTTAGTATAACATATAGTATAATATATAGTATACTAACCCCTCAAACTAAGATATAATAAGTATGGCCAAAACGCTGCAATATGCTGGTGGTTAGAGGGACTCAATGACTCAATGAATGGGTTCATGATGTTCAAGTTTGGCTCGCCAGAATGAGACCCTAGAAATGGCTGGCTTTGTCAAGCACAATCGGAATTCTGTTTCACGCACTTCTTTACAAGCGAGAGTTTCCTTTATCCAATGTGGGGATCAATCCAATATTTCATTGCTCTGGAGGCTCTGGGTAGGGATGAAAGAGGATTTTACATACTTGAAACAATAAACCACTTGGTAAGTACAGTGGTAAGCATCAAGACTGGTAACTAACTAATTGTATGTAATGATCAGTCCGATGTCAAAAAGTGGCTTTTCCAAGAATCTGTGTGGGGGTTTCCTGAATGGGGATACCCCGAAATCGCCCATTTCAATATGAGTTTCCTTGATAAACCGTCCAGCTATTGTGGTACCGCCATGACGTAGGAAACCACCAGGCTCACCAGGACGCACGGTTGAGACTCCGTGGATCTTCCAACAAGTCATGTTGGATGACACCGGAGGGTCATGGACACAGTATACAATGGATATAACCTGATGAATTATCATGGATATAACCTGATGATATCATGGATATAACCTGGTGATATCATTCTCAGCCTGTTCTGAAACCATGGTGGTTCAGTGAAAAACGACCAAACGACCAACGACCCACTGGATGATAATGCTCCAGCGGACATGGCTGGGGAACCCATCCCAAGAATCTCGAAGATAACACCCTTCACCAATCTTCATCATGTTTCAATGTCTCGTTTGTAACCGTCAAACAACACATGTTGTTGTATATACTCATGTTCATGAATCAAAGATATAAATCCACAAGTGTTTGAAGGGTGATTTTTGAACTCTTGTTCCTGGTCAAATCCGGTGGTATTGATGCCTTTCAAGTCCACTAGTGATGACGAAATAACGCATGTTTTATTGGTGCTCAAATCTCAAATTCATCGCAAATCCCATGTATTATCCTGCTTAAAATTTGTTTTCTTGGAGATTTGTCGATCCCCTGCTACAAGCTGACAACTCTTAGTGTGATAATTTGTATATAATTAAACCATACGAAACCCATCTGCTGAAATGTCAATCAGGCTAAACATCAAGACCGTAACCCCCCGAAAAAAGAGATAGAGAAAAGGCTCAACTTCCCATTATCTTGGAATTGGATGTTGCTAATATCCATACCTGTGGTAATCAAACATTGCAAAATGGAGCCTGCGCAATTTCATCCATGATCTTACCATGAAAAAGTCTCCATAATATATATATATATATACATATGGCTCACTGCCATGTTTGATGACTGCTGTCGCCACGAATTCTCCAAGATACCAGGCTCCATAGGCACATCAAACTGAAGGCAAAGCGTCCCGTTTCCGGGTGCCTTGGGAATTCTCGGGCCCCCAGCGGCTCGGCAGGAAAATGTGAGATTTCAGGACGATTTTAGTGCTGTAGCCATAGAAAAATATGAACAAAATGAATCAACATGTTTGTTTTTCAGTGGGAAGACATGGATCCAAGATGATCGAAAATGATGGGAAACTATCGGGCAAATGGAGATTTAACCAGGAATTATTGGCATTTAGACCATCATTTAACTCAACTGCTTAAGATCCGAGTATTTTCCCGGGATCCCAACATCAACTAGCAAAAACAAGGGATGTAATCTTATAACGACCATGACCCAACAAAAGTTATATATATATATAGTGATAGTGATATGTATATATATATATGTTTAATTAAATGATATTAAATGTATACTACAATGCTGGTTTCAAGCTATTTAAATCTGGTTAGTGTTTCTTTTGCTATTTGAGAACTAACATGAACTAACAATATGTTCAAGTTACTGTAATTGGGTGAGTCCCATTTTTAGGCCTGACATGGAATCATCATGTCTCCTCTGGTGAAGAAAACAATGGAATTGTTGGTGTCAAAACAAAAAAGGAAAACACTAACCCGTGGCAGAATTTCTGCCGGGGAACCCCGGGAAACAGCAGTCAAGAATTGCTCGACAATCATCATATCAAAGAGTGAACATTTGAGGTGAACTGACCCACGGATTGGCTGTTGATTCGCTGAAAAACCATCCATTGCTGCTTTTTTGTTGTGCCCTCTTACACGGTTACTAAACTCCACTCCTAAATGTAAATTTCGAGGTGTCCATATCCCGAGGTGTTGGTTCAATAGTGTATCATTCTAAGTTATGATGGGTCATTCTCAATTTGTCATGGCTTATGCCCAAAGGCTTGAAACCACCAATCAATAGCATGTACATACCCCAAGTGATCTGTGAAAATATGTTGCATCAGTTTTCTTCCGTGAAAAGTCCTTTTTCTTGCGTTGGACAGCCTGTCGGTAGGACCTACAATTATGTGTTCTTTTTCATGGATTGGGAAAGCTAGGAGAAACAAGGTGAATAACATGGGCCTAACATGGGTCTCTCTGAAAAAAGGGATCCCCAAAAAACGCCATGTTCATTCAAACAATGCTTGTCAAAAATTATCACCTGCTTTTTGGTCTTAAAGTTTCTAGACGACGCCCGCATTCGTGAAACAAGGCCTGAGATGGCATTGTCCAAAAATATGGTACCAATATATAATTCCACTGGTTATAATGAATGTTAATCATCATGTTCCCATATGTTCCCTATCAAAATGGCCCCCGGAAGAGAATTAAGAAAACACCCATATGATATCGCCCATATGGATGTTTCCTAAAATAGGGGTACCCCAAATCATCCAAGAGTAGACCATTTTAGTAAGTATTGAAACCTTGAAACCCATGGTTTTGGGGTAGCCCCATTTTAGGAAACCCCCATATAAAACCAGCCATGTTCATGGCATATGCTAGGCTGCAGAACATAGACCAAGGGAAGCTTATGCCAGGCATTCACCCGCTCCACGGTTCCAGTGCAGGGCAAACACTTGCGGCCCACCACCTGCCCAGATGCCAGGGGATCGGAGTCCAACGTGGCAAGGCTCGGAAATTCCCGAAAGGGCGGATTTATAGCTGGGAAAATCATCTATAAATGGAGGATTTTCCGTTGCCATGCTTCATTACCAGTTGGTTCCCCCCAAAATTTCGCAGAGTTTCATAGATTTTTCCCAGTCCCATGGATCCAGAAATGGGGTCGGACATGGTAGGAACTCCATGGCAATGTGGAGAGTTGGGATAATTTGACCAGCCAACAAAGGGATTCCAGCAAATTGGGATGACTCTATGCAAAAAAAATGGATTTGAACCAACATACATGTTATGGATTTCTTTAATCCGCAATAATCGGAATACCATATGATCATATGGGTGTGTCTGCAAATGGGGCATACCCGCAAGCTATGGCCCCCTGATGGGAACATCGACAAACTCATATGCAGCACCAAAAATAGAGATGGATATAGGGGTTCCTATCTTTATTGGTGACTGTCCTATTTCTTGCTCTTGCCAAGTTTGGGTGTTACTGAATGGCTTTGTCTGAGAGAATTGGTTACCCCATTCCATCCACTGGTGAAAACTATCCGTATAATCATCATCCCTATGAAAATTTCCAGAATGCCAGAAAGCAGCGGGGAACAACCGATGTTCAGACTTCAGACAATCCCAAACATGGTCAAGTAACATCACATATATTATATATTATATAATTTTATATTGTATTTATTGTATATAATATATAATTAATCAAATATCATCAAATAACACCACATGTCACCATTTCTGGCAAAAGTTAGTAATTAGTACCAGATATCAACAATCCCTCCATTTCTCCAGTCGGTCGATCCACTTGGACATCCGCATAGATCAAGACTGGACAAGGCTCCCGGTTCAACTGTCAATTCCCAAACCACCAGGCTTTCGTTGGGGATTTGGGGGGCCCAAAAATCCTTCACCATCACCAGGTCACGATGGCAGTCGAGCCTTGTATCCGATTGGACAGCAGCACTTGCCAAGTAGACCTTGCCGTGTACGGCAAACGTCATAGCCGCGAGCGCGACAGTCCGACAGTCCGACCGGCAAGGGCTGCTGACCATCGCAATGCGTCAAACCCTTGAAGCGCTGAAGAATCACTTCCTGAGCGTCACAAGAAGGAAATGAACAACATGCCTATAGCTATGAAAGGTCACTATGGAACATAACTACTCAACAAACATTCCTATGGTCATGTACTATAACATAGCTATTCAGGATCACTACGATTTGCTAGGTAAACCAGCTATAAACTGGTCCGCTGTCCATAGCTATGCTGCATTAGCAAAGGGTAAACAAACAAACAAACAAACAAACAACAACACCAGCAACAACAACACCAGCAACAACACCAGCAACAACAACAACAGACAACAAACAACAAACAACAATGCAAACAACAAACAACAATGCAAACAACAAACAACGACAAACAACAACAAACAACAACAAACAACAACAAACAACAACAAACAACAACAAACAACAACAAACAACAACAAACAACAACAAACACAACAAACAACAACAACAACAACAAACAACAACAAACAACAACAAACAACAACAAACAACAACAAACAACAACAAACAACAACAAACAACAACAAACAACAACAAACAACAACAACCAACAACAACAACCAACAACAACAACAGCAACAGCAACAGCAACAGCAACAACAACAGCAGCAGCAGCAGCAACAGCAACAGCAACAGCAACAGCAACAGCAACCACCACCATAGAATCTATTTGTGTAAGTTAGACATTAAAAGACATGCATATTTGAAGAATCAAACATCGGATCTACTTTTGTAATCGAAAAGATATGCGTAAATAGTCAAACACATTCATCAAACATATTGATATTGCAGTATCAGTCAGAATGCTTGATGCCTCAGATCGTATCATCTAGTCCCAAAAATGGCTAAACGGGTTCTGACAATGACCCGTTAATTTCCAGTAAATCCCACTAAATCCCACGAAATCTCACTAAATCCCACGAAATCTATCGAAATCTCATGAAATTCCACGAATTCCCACGAAATCACATTGAATTTCACTAGATCCAAGCGGCATCAATGGCGCCCTGGTAGTCCTTCCGTGTGCCGATCCACCACCCGACGTGCCCGGTGCCGGTGATGGCCGTCCCCTCGGGTCTTGGAGGCGCACGGCCGTTCTGCACCGCCCAGGCGACGGGGGCACCGCTGGTGCTGCCGTTCTGGGAGAGATACCTCGCCATTTCAAGGGAAGTGGTGATAAATATGGAACTAGTTCATGGAGATTTCATGATTTCATGGAGATTTCATGATTTCATGGAGATTTCATGATTTCATGGAGATTTCAAATGATTTCATGGAGATTTCATAGAGATTTCATAGGGATTTTAGGGATAAATGATGATAAATGGTGATAAATGGTTGGGACATTGGGACTACCATAGTTCATGGAGATTTCATCTGATTTCATGGGATTCCAATGGGGTTTACTGGAATTTCACCAATTAGAAATTATTGGGACTACCCTCTGATAATCAAACGTGACTAGCTGGCAAATCCCCCAACTAAATGGAGGTTTATAGCTGAGAAAAACATCGGACTAAATGGTGGATTTTCCAGCAGGTAATGCTTGAAAACCGCAGGGTATTTCATGGCGATTTCATGGAAATATCAGGATAAACGGTGATAAATATGGCACTTCATGGTAATAGAACAGGATCAGACTGGTAATCTGTCACAGCTTGCGAACTGGACAATTCACTATTTGTTTATAGGTAAATCATCCATGTCATGCACATTTTTCTATGTCGCAATGTCGCTATGTCAAATTGCCGGAGGGTTGGAGTGATATCCCAAGTGTTGACACTGTTGAGGTGAACATGCCCTAGTTTCCTCAGCCAAGATACAGGGAGGGAATGACATCATTAAAAATGAGAAAATTATGATGAATCATGGGTGCACGGCGAACTCACGCAGATTGAATCGTTAAAAAAATGATAATAACACATGGGGTACTCAAATACTTGGGGGTGCAATTGAGAATATTATATAATGGGTATCATGGTTGGTTAAGGCCCCTTACAAGCTCTAAGCCCCGTATGAATTTGTCATTTGTCCTTTTTTCGCACTGAGAGGAACTGCACTTCCAATGGTAGGATCTTCCGATCCCATGCCCGTTTGGGAACCTTCTTTTTGGGTGGTCTCGACAGCTATCTCAAATGCCTTCACTAAGTCCATTTATGACCAACAAATAACCCGTGGTCACCCAAGCTTGGCCAATTTGTTGTTTGTTTTAAGCCACATTTGCGTGGCTTCAACTCCACACAAACCATCTGCCATCATCTGCCATCCATTAACCAGCTCAGTAATTTGCGCACTTCCTCATGGCAATGGTTGAATCCAAAGACTTTATGGTGAAATCTGAGTAGATGGTCCCACACGGTCCAGTCACAATGGAGCTACGTAGAGGCAGGTGATGGAACACGAGCCGCCTGAGTATCTCCAAGATAAATGGCAAGTTAGATTTGAATAATGTTCAGTACATGGATTGAATATCTGGATACATTAAACGAATTAATTATCACTATACCTATATGTATATAAGTATGTATATAAGTATGTATATAAGTATGTATATGTATATAAGTATATATATATACATCCATATATATATACGCACATATCCTGTATGGATAGACTGGCTGTATTGGAAATATAAAAACTAACCAAACATTGAAGGTGGAATCTAAGATGGAATTCATAGAACAACAAAATGGTGTCACTCTATCTATCTATGTGTTGATTATATCTTTATTTGTTGCATTGATATATCCTTCTATCCTTCTATCCATCCGTCCATCCATCTATCCATCTATCTATCCATCCATCTATCTATCCATCCATCTATCTATCCATCTATCTTTCCATCCATCCATCCATATATCTATCTATCTATCTATCTATCTACCTATCTATATATCTATGTATCTATCTACCTATCTATCTAATCTATCTAATCTATCTGATCTATCTAATCTAATCTATCTAATCTATCTAATCTATCTAATCTATCTAATCTTATCTATCTAATCTATCTATTCTATCTAATCTATCTAATCTATCTATATATTAATCTATATGTCTAAATTTATATATATATATAAATTAATCTATATGTCTATTAATCTATCTATATATATATATATATTAATCTATATGTCTATTAATCTATCTATCTATTGCTCTATCTATCTATTAATCTGTCTATCTGTCTATCTATCTATCTGTCTGTCTATCTATCTATCTATCTATCTATATATCTATCTATATATCTATATATCTATCTATCTATCTATCTATCTATCTATCTGTCATCTACCCATCCGTTCATCTATTTCTGTTTCCATCCATCTATGTATCTAGCATACACCCAATCTAAACGCTGATTTGGAACCTACGATTGGGCACCCTCAGTACTCGACCAGTAAATTAAATGTATGAACCAGCTGCAATCGACATATATAAAGATTGAACCAACATTCGAATGAATGGGTCTCGCTGAAAAATGATCGTTTCCTAAGTCATGGGGGTACCCCTAAATCATCCATGTTAAAAGGATTTTCGATTGTAAATCACTTTGGGGTACCCCCATTTACAGAAACCCCATATGTATAGCAATCGAAATGTATAACTTTCACCATGCACTTAGAAGGGATGATCATTGCTGCGGAACTATACCAGCCCCATCACCCGAATAATTCAAAGGACATGCACATGTGCAGTCTATGGCATTATCCATTCAAATCCCGGTTGAACATGACCAATGGATACAGAGAAAACACGAAACTTAAAACGTCGAACTAATTAACGCAATACGATTCGAATCCCTCAACAAATAGCCCATGATACATGTTCAGTGGATTGGTGGATGACTTTCCCGAGAACGCTTTCCGAATCGAAGGGATGAAAGGAAGCAAGCAAGAACACATAATAAAAAGGAAGGACAAACGAGACGTATCATCAAAGAAAGGCATGATCCAAGATTTTTTCCAAGTCGCTCAAGCACAGAGGAAAAAAACATTGGATTTAGTGGAGCCCCCAGGTAAAAAATCAGCTATGTAGTTGAAAAACACCGATCCAACTGCAGATATATCCTATAGTCTTTAACAGCTATCCTATTTATAGTCCAACAGCAAAATGTATATAATTGTATATAATAATGTAACTGTGTATATATATATATAGAGAGAGAGAGAGAGTTATAAATATATAACATATCATGTATCCACTACACATCCTAGGTATACACGAACAGACCTCAAACAAGAAAACAACCAGCCTGGCCTCCCGAAACCTCCTCCCAGGACTGGAAATGCGGAAGCTTCGGCAGTTTGGCAGCGCTGCGACAATCCTGGCCGCTCTTCTCCCAACGACCGTTGAAACATGGGGATGTCTACCAAAGAATCGTATCAATTCCCGCAGATGGGCACCAGAATGATTACATCCAATACTTAAATACTTAACCAAAAGTTTTCAGGAGGTGTTGGATATTAGGAAAGGATGAATAAGAATAATTATAAGAACACTTATATAATATAAATTCATATACCAATACAAGTAGAGTATTCATGTGAGTCGCAGAGGGTGCCATAAATCTCTGTGCTAAAAAAGGCGGGGAAATGTCGACCTTCCAATGGCACAGGGGAAAATGTCTGTTGAAAATTGCAACCCTGTCCTTCACCACGCACTGCTGAGCGGTGCAATCGCTGCAATGAGGAGCAGCACCTGTTGACCAACGGTGAAGGCTGGGCACAACAAACCGCTCTGGTGAATGGTTGGCACCCGAAAATCTCATGGTTCATCATGGTTCATCATTTTTTTGAATATCCATGTCAAAATGGCAATAATTATGGGGGTATTCCCCATTTTCAGATACAGTAAGCCCATTGTTCAATGATTTTCTGGGTAGCTCTAGTGGAGAGTCATGGGGATCCACCCGGGTTGTTCTGTGTTGACGACGATGCTCACTTTTTTTAAAATACTGTTGGACCTAGTAAGTGGTTTATGATCCCATATATAACCCATATAATCCCATAATATCAGTGGGGATATTCCGCGTATATTATATATTAATAAATAACTAACCCATTTACTAAGTGGAATGTTGCCCCCTACCCCGGGCCACCACTGGTTTTAGCGTGGCACCTACTTGCGCTGCGTCCATGGCGGCATCTTCGATGGTCACTAAACCTGCAAGGAGATGTGGTACCACTGGATGCGCTTCCTAGTCTAGTAACTGGATCTAAGAATCTAATATACACATAACATATGTAACTAAATGTGTATGTATACATTATATATGTATATATCTTATGATTGTTGTTTTCTGTGCTCATATTCTTTTGCATGTGTATTATCCTGGAATACAATGTGATAAAATATGATATAATGTGTGTATATATCTAATATTTTTGTGGCTGTTTACGAAAATAGTGGTACCCCAAAACCTTTTAGATGTGGCTGGCTATGGCTGCGACCATCGATATGCGAGAGCCATTGGGGATCATCATCCATTTTTTGGTGAAACCACCAACCAGATTAGGTCTCGTGGGATCTACAGGTGGGTCTTGGAATGCAGAAAAATATTCAGTGAAACATAGTCTACGCACAATGCACGTATAGTTCTTATAGATCTTCTATTTTTACACAAGTGTCGGCAGGCTGATCCAGGCTGCTATCCTACCTCCAATCTCCTCACCATCTCCGGTTCAATGGTCAAAATCCAGAACTGTCTGTGCAACCCCTTGAAATCTAAACAGCCAAGAAAAAGAAGTAGAGTATTTGAATAATTCACAACATCATCTTTTTCAAGAACCCTTTACATTATATATATAGTATCTCTAGCTTTAACCCAACCATTTATAAATGTCAGATTCATGGATTTTCCCGCCAAGGCGCCAAGACGCCCGCCGTGCAGCTCTGAGTAGTCACTGAGGCTCATGGTGGCCTGGGGCCTAAAGCAGTTGTAGCCATAGACCGGTCCGTGGGAGCAACTCGCAGTCCTCGGACCGCGAGTTGTGCATGGCGCACGGTCGCGTGCGCCAGGTGGATGATAATATATATATATATATATATTATTGCTATACCATTGATATACCAGAACTGAAAAAATAAGGTCAGGAGAAATAACTGAAGTTATTGGGATATGATAGTAGTTCCTAATTTCAGGTGAGTTGTTTTCCTGGGTCATTGTGATATTAAATGTTAGTCTCCCCAAAGGGCAATCCAATCATCTGACCAGCAGCCCACCCTACAGGAACCAGAAAGTCGCTCTGGAACCGAAAAAGAATGGTTTGTAGACTGCAGTTTACACTTGACGATTAATGATTGCATTTATTAATATAGCCATTAAAATACCAGCCATACGCACCTTGCTTTCCACACAATGTCTACGTATCTTGTCAAAAGTCGTCTATAAATTTCGTTACAAAACACATGCTGAATCATTCCGCTTGAATTTGATTGGAACCTAAAGATGTTATATCATATTGTTACAGTAGTTATATATATATATATATCCCATCAAATATTCCAATACTCTATCTATCTATCTATCTATCTATATATATATATAGTTTCCCCATGAAACATATCCAGTAATTAAGTCTCATCATTGTCCCCATTCGACTCCCATGAAACCCCATATAAATGGTTATATTCCCATAGAGACGCATCATTTGTCCAAAAAGGAATTCACATTTACCATTGTTTTCCGCAGTTTTCAGGAAATAAACATATTGACTTTTATATGACCCATGTTTCTCCCGCCACGGTTTTCCCACAGTTTTCGGGAAATTCTCGGGGTCCAAGCATCAGCAACAGGGCGGCAAGGCTGGCACAACTCAGGATCCACCGCACGCGATCGAGCCAGTGGAGCGGATGGTCCACCCGCGAGAAGAACGCAGGAGCGATGCCTCCCATGGGGATGACTGGATGACGACAGGGGATAGAAACCATGGGGATATGTATGCAATACATTAGCTGGTTGGTGGTTGACCTACCCTGAAAAATATATGAGTTCGTCAGTTGGGATTATTATTCCCAATATATGGGAAAATAAAAAGGTTCCAAACCACCAACCAGATATGATATTATATGATATTATATGATCTTATATGATATTATATGATATTATATGATATTATATGATATTATATGATATTATATGGTATTATATGATATTATATGATATTATATGATATTATATGATATTATAAATTATAAAGTTGTTGTTAAATGTTCTTGTAACAATGATTATTGGTTGTTGTTACTGTCATTATCCCAGGAAATTGGTATTAGTGGTGTTTCTACTACTTAAAATGTATCTTTAGATTTATTCTATGAAATATATTCTACTATACATTATATTATACATTCTACTACATGTATAATATTGTGCATATATATATATATACACATATACATATATATGAACATAATTACTAACTGTGGTAATTGAATGCGAGAACTCATGGGGGGTTGACCCTACAAATGTTGGTGATTTATACAGTTGGATTGAATTAATGGTAAACTCATGGAATTTGAACGACACTCACTGGAACTGAATGTGGGACCTGTGCGCTGCGTGCTTGGTAGCACCAGTCCACTTTTTTTTTCGGCCAAATCCACTCCAATCCCAAAAATTATGATTACTTCAATCCACCAGTTCACTTCAATTTTATTTTAATCCAAAATCTTTGGCCAATCCAAAATACTCCACTCCAAACATCTCCGATCATCCCGGTTTAACCCTGGATAGTACGTCCCCATTTCGTGACTTATCCCATGGTTTTTTCATGGGTCACACATATCAATGGATCAACCGTGCAAGGCTTCCCTGGAAAACCATTTTACTTGAAGGATCCCACGGAAAAAAAAAATGTAACCATGGGTGATGAGCCATTTTAAAAGTGGGATCAACCATTTTGGGGACTTATATATATATATCTATATATGTATATGTATATACGTACATATATGTATAAATATATATATATGTATATATCTATATATATATATATATCTATATATATATACATATGGACTTCACCAGGGATGCCAAACATTTTTCAGATGGGATGATGCCAAGCAAAAAATGGCGTCCCTGATGGGTCATCACCTGCTCGGAACGCGAGGATCATCGCAGCACTGATGGCCACAAGCTGCCAGCGTTCTCCCAAGGTCTCCAAAAAGACATACTGCAGGATGCACCTGGTGAAACCGGCACCCATGGGGGTAACCATGAGTTTCCATGTCTAGAAAAGGATATAATGGGGGTTTCCATAAATGCCGGATCCCCAAAATGCTTGGTTTATAATGGAAAATCCAACAAAACCACCCCCATAGATGTGTTTATGTTATGCTATGTGTGCAATTCAATGCAATCTGCGTATGTATGTTTGCCTGGGTGTCTCTCCGTCTGTCCATATGCCTCCATGGATGCATGCATGCACGTACGTATAAAATATGGAACTATGTATCTATGTATCTATCCGTCTATGTATCTATCTATCTAACTATCTATTTATCTATCTATCTAACTATCTATCTATCTGTTCTATCCTATCCTATCCTATCCTATCCTATCCTGTCCTATCTATCTATCTATCTATCTTATCTATCTGGCTGAATTATAATATTTCGTAGGTCGTTGGGTCGATTTTTTTATTTCAAAATTGAAATAAGGTTTACGTCGCAAGAAATAGTGAATTGTTTTTACGTCGGGCAAGATATATATATATAGGTGACATTTCCATAGCACCCACCTGGCGGGCAGTGGCCTCTGACAAACGTATCTGGGATAGATGCTGCCAGGAAGAACTTGACATAAAAATGCTTTGTATATACCACAGAGATATATTCTAGCATGTTGGACGGATGCCTTGCTTCTCCCCCTAACATGAGCGGGAACATCCAACTCATGCGCTACAGCTAAAGACAAGTGAAGGAATAAACACTAGGTCCATATATGTATCAGATAATTTTACATCACTCTGGGAATTGATCTCATTACCTCCCGCTTGCTAGGCTGACGCTCTACCAACTGAGCTATTGAGTCTTCAGCATCTTGATAGTTGACATATGTAGCGAGATATGCAAGGATAGAATGGAAGACTACCAGAAAATCGTGAATACGCTCACAGAGTCACAGGGGATGAAATATCACCAAGTATGGAAAGAAACATTTGAGAGAGCAAGAGCCGAGACCAGGGAGGGTTCGAACCCCAGCTCGTTTCGCAAGACGTCCAATTTGACCTTTTCGCGGGCTGAAAAGCTCAAATTGGACGTCTTGCAAAATCCTACCCGCCCAAGTCCTTCAGCAAGGGCGAGTTAGCCATGCTTCTCTCCATTGCGGGTGAATGAGGACACTTTAAAACCCTTAGTATCCTTGATTCAGTGGCTTAGGTCGATTTCTGGGGTGACGTCGGGTGACGTCGTTATAATTCGGGCAGATCTATCCTATCTATCTTATTTATCCTATCTATTCATATCTATCCTATCTATCCTATCTATCCTATCTATCCTATCTATCCTATCTATCTAATCTATCTAATCTATCTAATCTATCTAATCTATCTAATCTATCTAATCTATCTATCCTATCTATCCTATCTATCCTATCTATCCTATTTATATCTAATCTATCTAATCTATCTAATCTATCTAATCTATCTAATCTATCTATCCTATCTATCCTATCTATCCTATCTATCCTATCTATCCTATCTATCCTATCTATCCTATCTATCCTATCTATCTAATCTATCTAATCTATCTAATCTATCTAGTCTATCTAATCTATCTAATCTATCTAATCTATCGAATCTCTCCAATCTATCTAATCTATCTAATCTATCTAATCTACTAGTATCTAATCTATCTAATCTATCTAATCTATGTAATCTATCTAACCTATCTAACTATCTAATCTATCTAATCTATCTAATCTATCCAATCTATCCAATCTATCTAATATATCTAATCTATCTAATCTATCTACAGTAATCTATCTAATCTATCTAACCTATCTAATCTATCTAATCTATCTACAGTAATCTACAGTAATCTACAGTAATCTATCTAATCTATCTAATCTATCTAATCTATCTAATCTATCTACTTTATCTAATCTATCTAATCTATCGAATCTATCTAATCTATCTAATTTATCTAATCTATCTAATCTATCTAATCTATCTAATCTAAATATCTATGAATCGGTCTATCTATTAATCTATCTATCTATTAATCTATCTATCTATTATTCTATCTATTGATATATCTATTAATCTATCTATTAATCTATCTTTTAATCTATCTATTAATCTATCTAGTAATCTATATATTAATCTATCTATCAATCTATCTATTAATATATTAATCTATTCATCTATCTATTTATCTATTAATCTATTAATCTATTAATCTATCTATTAATATATTAATATATTAATCTACTAATCTATCTATCTATCTGTCTGTCTATATCTATATCTATATCTATATCTATATCTATATCTATCTATCTATCTATCTATCTATCTTTCTCATCTATCTATCTGATCTAATCTATCTCCGTTTGAAAACCAACTGCCGCGGGGCCCAGTTGGTTAACAATCCTTTCCATGCCCAGGCACAAAACAACTGCTGGTAGGAAAACCAACTGCCGCGGGGCCCAGTTGGTTAACAATCCTTTCCATGCCCAGGCACAAAACAACTGCTGGTAGGACCTGAAACTCACGCTGATTGGCACATGTACTAAGTACCAAGCCTTTTTTGGGGGGGATATTTGGCATCTCCCACCAAACTAGAAAAAACAAAACAAGAATTTCAGGAACATTTTGACAACAAGTCGAGAGAACCAGCCCTTAAATATCTTACCAGCCCTTAACTCAGGAAGAGGTTCAGTGGTCGTGTTGGTTTGTGGCAACCAGCGACTTCACCCAGCAATGCTGCGCTGGATGTTGCAGCAACTACTCACACTCTCACACCCTAAAAATATGGTGTGCATCAGAAAATTGGGTATTTGACTTCCATTTGTGGTAATGAATGTGTTGTTTATCTGCTGGGAACATGAGGTTCTTGACTTCGGGGATTGTCAGGGGTACTTGTTTTTGCAGATATGTTTGTATAATTTTGTATACTAATACTCATCATCAGTGACTGATTTCAATTCAGCTCACCCAACGAATACCATTCTTTCGGCACCTGAACAGTGTCAAAACCTGTTGTAGAATGGGGATCTTCTGCTCACGGATTATGTTTTATAGTTGTATATATGTAGCGTCATTAAAATCCGCAATTCATAAACACGATATAAACAGCCGTTGAACCCACAAAGCAATCATCCACCAGCCCTTTGCCAGGGGACAGACGCGGTCATCACCACCAGGTTTTGATCAAAGGTTAGCACCAGTTCTGAGATTGGAATCTCCATCGATTTCGAAGGTGTCGTTGCTGCCATGTTCATCGGCCTCGGCGTGCCTCAGCACCTTTGGCTGAGCGATCTGTCTTTGTCCGAAGCTGCGATCTGAAACAGCTTCGAACGGATTCAAATGTTCGCCGGTTTGGTCTCGAGTTTGTTGTGAACGGCCCTAGGCAAAGTACCAAGCTGCTGAAACTCCATTCGTCAAACCCTTCAGATATACAAAACACATCAAGTAGGTCTTTAGATGTCTTTAGGAGGTGGATTTGTTTCGGGATGTGAATCCATGTGAATCCTTCATATTTCTTAAAACCGATGATCCCCATTATATAAAGTCCCATTGTACCCATTAAAGTCCCAGGCGGTATCCCATGAAATTCCATTCAAGTCCAATGATAATCTGGAATTAAATCCAATCAAAATCACATTAAAATCACATTAACATTTAACATTCACTATGTCACCATGAAATATGAATGGCGGACAACTTGTTGTTGATGTTCGCAGCATACGCAAATTAGGGTCGTCCCCTATCGGTAGTGAAGATTTCTGCCTTCGCGAAGATGCAAGTTCGTAAAGTGTCAGTCTCGCCAAGATTATACCCTCTGGTAAACCAAAATAGCTGTAGAACATCACCATTTTTAGTGGGTAAATCATGGTAAACTATAAATGGCAATTTTCCAGTAACATATAGCTATTGAAAATGGCCCATTTATAGCTGATTTACCTATTAAAGATGGCCATGTTCCATAGCTATGTTAAATTACCAGGGGGTATCCCCAAACATCCGCCACTGCAGCGAAAACGACCTCACGCAAAAAGATGTCAAGCTCCACCTCGCAGCTATCCTTCGGCGTGGCCCTGGCAGAACGTCCAAAAGAATGGGGTCCCAGTCTCTGGTCATGGATACATAATGATACATACGGATACATATGGTGGTTTCCTAAGTCATGAGGGTACCCAAAAATCTCTTCCTAGCTGGACGGTTTATTTGACGGAAAATCCCAATCTAACATGGATGATTTAAGGGTACCATTTCAGGAAACCCCCATATAGTTTATCCCATGTGCAAATGACCAGAAAAAACTGTCATAACATAGTTTATCCCATAGTTTATCCCCTTTATAAATCTGGACGAAGCATAATATTTCACAATCTGAATTAAGGCTATTGTGGGATGTGTTCCTTTCCTAACCACCATCAAAAGTGAGGTCCACAGGCTTCGGTCCTCATTTGCCCAGCCTGAGGCCCACATGGACGACGGCAGTTGCCTTCCAGCCTCAGTGAGTTTTTTTTACCTGATGGGCTGACAACATTTAGGTGTGTTTGAAAATATATGAAAATATGGTACCTCGTAAGCGGCAATCATTTTTGTAACCCAGTTTTCAGGCATATTTCGCTGGCGAACAGCTGCCTCCAAGTGTTGGGGGATCGTCCCAGGAGATCCGATGGAAACATCCCCGGATGAATAAACCCGGCTGTTGATTCATTGTGGTGGTTCCCCCAAGGAGTTTATCAATGGCTACCTGAAATGGCTACTGAAAGGGTATGTCCCCAATTTAACAGCCTAGGGTTTATAAAATCCGGGGTTGACACTAGTTCAAATCATGAACCAGATGAGTCAAGTTGGCTGTCCTGGACATGCGCCCGAATGTTGTGGAAATCGACTGAAAATCAACGAATCTCCCACCCCTGGCCCTATGGCGCTGTGGCCTCGGACGTCCGCCCCGGCGGAACACGAGCATGGGATGGTCAAACGCCACCTCGGCAAGGCGCAAGGCGCAACTCATGGCTCTGGAGGTTTTCTATGAGAGGTACCATGAGGTACCCCCAAATCATCCAAGTTAGCGGTTGTGAATGGGAAAACCAATGGTTTGGGGCCTTTGGGGTACCCATATTTTAGGATGACTCCATCTGTACAATCATTGCAAGTAGCCGTTTTTTTTGTTGCTTTGTTGGAACATGATGAACATCCACAGTTTGGCGACACGCTTTTCGTGGCAACTTTGTTCCAAGGCCGCGAAGTTGACTGACATTGTCTCTTTGACAATGTGGTGGCTTCAATTGATGAAGTAATTATAAGAAAACAATTCGGGTGCATCAACGGAAAACCAGTACATTCCAGTACTAAATACCATGAACATGTCAGCCAGCACTGTTTCTCCTTCACCACCAGAAGTTGTCATTCAGGTGGCTTCGCCACATGCACAAAAACAGGGGATCACCTGTACTCTATCACCTGCAGCTAGGCCTGTCGCTTCTTTTTACATATCATCCCTGGCCTTCACCAGGGTACACCCCAGCCGACACTGAGGAGCGGGGCCAGCTGTCAGGTCCATTTGGGTGGCTTCGCCACATGCACAAAAACAGGGGATCACCTGTACTCTATCACCTGCAGCTAGGCCTGTCGCTTCTTTTTACATATCATCCCTGGCCTTCACCAGGGTACACCCCAGCCGACACTGAGGAGCGGGGCCAGCTGTCAGGTGATTACCAAAAGAGTGAAAGGGGAAAAAGCTACCTTCCATGGGCCCCATTCTGGCCCTTGGCCGATAGCACCTGTGCTAGATGTTTCATGTGCTGCTTTTGCTCAGGAGTCAAGGACAGATGACTGAGGCCAGCTGCGGCATCTTGCAAGTAAATACGCGCTGTGGATGATGAGACCCAGCGTCCTCGAAGGAGCGTACGCTCCATAGAGCCTTCACTCAAAAAATGCCACGTGGCTCCTCCGCGACGGAAGGAATACAAGGAGAAATGCCCTTGAACTGCCAGGTATTCAAGCAACGAAAAGAAGAGCTCTCGCAAGGTGGCAGGGCGGCAGCTGAGAAGGGAGTCAGTGGGCCGCTTAGAGGACAACGCTATAGCCAGCCATTTATTAGCGACATGGCTGCCACACACCACCATTTCGTCAGCACCGCGGCGTTGGCCTGACTTAGTATGGTGAAGCCGCAGGACAGCTTTTCCCCCAGCCCAAGTGATGTCACCCTTTGTAAGGCGATAGAGCTCCCCTGGCCGCAGCATCGTATCGAAAGCCACAAGAAAAGCAGCAGCGTTGTCAACCATTCCCATTTGCACGCAAGCCCCACTGATGGCCATCACCACCAGTGGGGAAATGGGTAGCACTCGAATGGGCGGTTCCATCTTCTGCCAACTTTTCAACAAACGCCATGAATGCCGCAATTTTCCCGCAAGCTCAGGTAGGAAATGTTGCAAAGCCGCCAGTCCATCACACCCGTAACCTTTGGGATACCCCTCAGAGAAGATGTGCTCTAACCACTGGCCCGTTGCAACGTCAAAATCCTCCCAAGTTGTTGGGGGCTGGCGTGATTCCCGCCAAAAGGAAAGGATCCTCTTAGCAGCCTGCTCATAGCGCTGATGAAGTAATGGACTTAGCACTTTCTCATTGAGGGAGAGGCCTTTCCTTTGTTTCTTTCGTTCTTTCCGGTGGGCTTCAACTTGTTGCGCGGTCTTTTTGCCCATCTTGAAGGGATATCAGCAGGGTTTTCCTCTGTGGCCACGTAGCCGATTGCTAGCTGAACGCCACCTGCAACACACAGGCCAGCTAGTTTGTCAACGGCTTTGCGCAAGCGAAAACTGCTGGTCCTCCCCTTTGTAACTATCGATGCCACAACCTGGCTATCCACCAGGTGGAGAACCCGCCGCCTAAAATGGGCGAGAGAACGTAGGCGCCATTGCAGGGAGTTCACTACCGCTTGCAGCTCTAAGAGGTTAATGTGTCCCTGAAATTTCCAAGGATACCCATGAATGATTCTCCAGTGGAAAAGTCGTGAGCGGATTCCTGCTCTAGGCCATGCCCTAGTCCTAAAAGGAATACCAACATCCAGCTTTACATCAGTGCCGCTCCTATCCGCGTGACGCAGAAACTCTTGAACCAGCATACCAGATCGACAGTCAGGTTTACTCTGAGGTTCAAACCTAGGGTGAGAACACCAACCTGTCGGGGCCACTTGATCCCTGTCAAAAATGCGGTCAAGGCACCTGGGGGCATAGCTAGGTTCCACACTCCGGAGCAGTTCATCAAATAGCAAAGTGATGGCATAGACACTGAAAGAGTTGCCGATCATGCAGGCCCCCTGATTAAACGCCTCATCCAAGGTCAACTTAGGGCTGAGCCCTGTGGAGACATACCCCACAGGGAAACCCATGGCTTTTTCCCGTTCAGTAAGGGAAGGCAGCCGCAGCGAACCATCTGGTCTTTCCAACATATGCTTTGCTTCATACTGATAGACCTGGAAGCGATGTCTGTCATTCCTCCACCGAGCGATGGCATCCGAAGAGGCCGTTGCATACCCCGCAGGTTCACGGGGAGCGCTATTGCGCGGCAGGGCTCGCGTAAAAGTTGGAAGTGGCCCTGGCGAAGATTTCTTGCACCGCTCATCAACCCACCAGTCGGTCTTCATCTCCTCCATCTCGACGATCCATTCTTTGTAACCTGGATGGGATAACAAGCTTTCTCCTTCAGCAGGCTGCACTTCCCAGTCAACCCAGAACAACCGTGGTCTGCGGCAGGGAGAGAAATGCACGGAATCCACTAACACAGGCTCAAACCCCAGTGTCCTGCTGAACTCATCTCGGTTTTGTGATGTCATCGAAAAAACGTTCTCCACAAACCTCCGTACTGGGCATCGAAAGACCTTCGCCAACATCTGAAACACTCTGGGCATCACAAAGAACAACTTGCTCCGATGCCCTGCCAGACCTGCCCTGTCCGCCAACAGGGAAGAGAGATCTTGGCAGGGACTTCCCCCACCACAAAGCACAAGGTCAACTGCGTCTCCAACGCTGGCAGCCAGAGTAGTGAAAACTTCTTCAGTTATCTTGTCCACATCACCAAGTTCGATAACCCCAGGCCATCTTTGCCTCACAAACCTCTTACAAGCTTTATCCACCTCCGACGAACAGAAAGCAATGACCTGGCATTCCAACCTGCAAAGACCGCACATGAGCGCAGAAATTCCATCGAAGAGGGAAACAACAACGACCCTTGGACCCTGACAGTTATTGACCGGGAGAGCCCCCTGAGGTTGAAAGCTACCCATGCGCTTCTTAACGTACCAAGGACTTTGAAGGTAGTCAAGCACCCCTTCACCTTCATCAGTCAGTGCTCCCGATGCGCACAAGCCACCCCCAAGTTCCGAGGCATCCGAACACGTAACCATGTTACTAACTTGAGCACGAAGATCTGTTCCTGCCAAGGGAAGCACTGCCACCGCACGCAAAAGCTCTGCAATGCTGCTGTTCGACCAAGGTCTTAGCACATCCACTGATCCCTTTGGCCAGATCGTAGCAAGGATTGTCATCAAGGGCCTACGGAACTCAAAGCAACGCACTAGCCTACCTAAGACCATCAACAGCACCTTGACTGGGGGGCAGTGGAGCCCTAGTGCCCACAAAGCAAAGTAGGCAACCTCCAACTTCTTCTGTCGCGGTGCTGCCACCGTACCACGCTTTCCGTCAATCTCAGCTCCCATCCTGACAACCTTGGGCTCCCTGAGATGGGCCTTGTCTGTTGCAATCCCAACACCCCAACGCTCGTAGGCCGCACGTTGTTTTTCATGAGTTGGTCCCATGGTTCCCTGCAACTTTTCCCAGCCAACACTGGGCAAGACCTCAGGGCAATCAAAGTCGTCCAAATAGAATTGAACAAACTCCGTGGTTTGTCCCTCCGACCGCTGGGGAGCTGGCCTGTCACGCCTCCACTCCAGCTCCTCCTCATGGCCAGCACCATGAGGAACAGGGGCCATGCCCAACTGGCGATGAAGGTGCTGGAACAAACTGACAGCTTGTATCCAGCCCATCGGAATCACCCGCGAGGCCACAAATTCCATAGAGCGGCCAGATCCCACATAATGGCCTGGGACAGGCCAACGGAAGGCCATAAACGGTCGCCAAGCTGCTGGGAGCTGCCAGGCGTAAAAGGCGCCTTTCTGATCATCACCTGACCACAAGAGTACCTCATCTTTTTTTAACACAAGTTGGCACCAAGCCGTCGAGCTAGCCAGCGTGTCAAGGTCCCCACGCATAAGACGCTGATACGCATTAGTGGGCACAAAGTTCATGATCAGCCTTGTCACACGTGTCTGGCCAGCACCAGCACGCCCTCGCTTCTCCACTGCAAAAGCCCCATTTAGCACGGGGGTGCCTCCCACCTTGAAGATGGAGTCATAGGGGATGGTTTCTATGATCCCACGCTGAAACAACACCTCACAGATGCGGTACCACTCCAACCTCGTAGCATTGATACGAGCCCTAGGTATCTGAGAAGGCCACAACTCCCGGGGCTTCAAAGTCATTTCAGGCTGAAGAACCCATTCCCTTATCCCTCCCGATGCAGCCTGCACTGCACAAAGAGAGCCAGCAACTCCCGCATCTGGAAGACCCGGCAGGAGCTCCTCCAACCTGAGAGGCAGGGCGGTTGTGACTTCTCCACCCGAGTAATCCAGCTGACGATTCTTGACTAAATTTGGAAAGTCGGGCTTGGGGAGAACTTCAGTCGGTGTTTCACAAAAGCTTTCAACCCATTTTGTAACCACCTCCAAAGCTGCTAACTGATGTTCACTGGCCCTACCTTTTGATTTCGAAATAAACGTCCATCCATCTGTCATTCCATTCAAAACCAGTACGCAAAGGCATTTCCAGATTTGTTTAATACCTTCTTCAACCAAGCGCTTTCGTTGTTGTCGCCCCCTCTTTTTGTGGCTCCGGCTGCAAGGGTCTGCAACCTCAAGAATACCGCCATCGCAAGTCATACCGGTTTGAACCAACCTGAGTGCAGCTCCTACGGGGGGTAGAGGCAACGGCAACAAGTCTCTAACCCGAAGTGGTGGTGAAGACTCTGAACAAAGTTGATCAGCCATCCAACAACAGAGTGATTTCCCATCTCGTGGGCTAGTAAGCAGGAGCTGCAGCAACGTCACACCTAACTGTAGAACACTGATCTCGAGCTTGGCCACTTTCTGACAAACCAGTCTGAAGGGGGTCATGGCAACACGATGGACCTGAAAAACTTTTAAAAAATCACATTTCACTTCGAATTCCCTCAACTCATTACTGAAAAAGGAATTGGGCAGTGGCACGCCCGAAGCAGGATCGCCTGGCCTTGCAGACGATGCTGGAAAAAACTCGCCGTGCAAAATGCTAGGCTCTTCGGCACCAGCAACACAGCTACTTTTCCCTGCCTTCACAGGGACGTCTCGGCCAGGGATTAGTTCGTCACTGGCCAACACCAGCGCTTGACCCGGCTCAGTCCCTGCCTCACTTCCCCCTGCCTTCACAGGGGTCCTCAGCTCCTCTTTCCTCTCCGATCTCCTTTTCCTCCAACTCCATGCTTCGCCTCTTCGCTCCTCTTGAAGTTGAAAATCCTGTTCTTCCACTGTGCCCTTGTCTCGTTCTCCTTCCTTGGAACTGCCTGTCTCGCATCTGCCATCCTCATCATACCTGGCTTTGTGCCCCCAGGCTCTGCAGGAATCTCCTTCTCCAGCGGTGTCTCGAACTTGACTGACCTCTTCAAGGGGCTTCTGCTTCTGTCCCTGGTTTTGGTTGGGCTCCTCAGTGCCGGGCGTCTCACTTGATCCTCCGTCTCCTTTGCCTGAGTTCCAGTAGGGGGGTGGCGCTGAGGAGGGGTCGCGGCTGACCCCCCCCCGCCGAGTCCCTAGCCCGTGCTCCTCACACGGGACAGGAGAGCCTCACTCTTGGCGTTCTTCACAGCAAGGCTACGGGCAAAGTCACTTTCTTCAAGAGTTGCAGCAGTTGGGTACAGTTCCATCGGCACCAACTCCAAGTACCTCGACGCTGCACTGGATCCGTCCTTGAGGGCCATGAGCAAACTCTTGAACCTTTGCATCAGCATGTCACCAGCCATGCCAACACGCCCCGACACCACCAAATCCAGTGTTGATGCCAGCGTCCGTAGTTCTCGAACCTTCTCCTCTCCCACCTTCTTCACGTCAACTAGTGGGAGCGCGGTTGTGAGAAGGTACCGCAAAGCACCAGGCTGCAGCATTGCTTCACTCGACGTCGAGGTTGCTGGATCCCCATAGAGAGTCCCCAGCTGTTCGTGCATAAGCGAGAAACCCTTCACCAGGAGAGCCCCTGGCTTCTCGCTTGAAAGCTTCCTCAACTTGCGCTGCCTGCTCAGGAGGTCTGAGTCACCCCGGCCCACACCGAAGACGGCAGCATCATCATCACTGTCATCAAGTGAAGAGGAGGACGCCTCCTCCTTGGTCTTGCTCAGTGTCTTGAGAGCCCTCTTCACTTTATCCTGCTCAGACTCCTTCCTTCTTTTCTTTGAACCTTCTACGCCAGCTTGAACGCGACGCGCCAGGACGGCACTGGCTCCTTCTTTTGCCTCTGGCTTCTTCTGCTTTTTCTCCTCAAGAGACCTTCTCAGCACCTCCAAACGGCTGTCTGCCTCGAAGGGCCCAGCGCCATCGTCCTCAAGGATGGCATCCAACGGGCTGCTCTTGTCAGACTTCTTCTTGCGATGCCCCCTGGTAAGGTCACCAACAGACCCACGCGCCTCCTCAGGCCGGCACCTGCGAGGGCTGCGAGAGTCTCGATGCGATCTCCTCCTCCTGCTGTGCTTTCTGCCCGATCGAGGCTTCGAGGCATTGGACCTCCCGACATCGTCATCCTCAGCTCCTGACAGCTCAGCACTGCCTCCCCGAGAGTCCTCGGAGTCACCACGGCCATCACCACGGCGTTCTTCCCCACGAGGCGGCTTAGCAGCCTTGGCTTTCGAGGCAGTCTGCAGGTCGGCCTCTTTGGGGGCCTTTGCATCATCCACCGGGGTCACAGGCTTGCGTCGTCCCCCCGGCAGTGACCTGTCAAGTCGCTTCACCTTCCACTGCCTCAAGCACGCCTCTACATCCTCCAGAGTGATCCAGGCCATCTTCTGGATGTGCACGATTTGGTCTCGGCCGACTTTACGCCGACAGGAGGACCAGCTTCGGCGGCAGACGTGATGCCACTTGGCCGATCCACCCTCGTCGACAATCCAGTGGGCGTAATACTCGTCAGACGCAGCAACATAGTCCAGCTTGATGAAGGCACCGTCGCCATCAGCATGGTACCTGGAGGTCACGGCCCCCACCGCTAACCCCTGGGCATTGCCTGCGTCGTCCAAGCACTCGAAGAGGATGTAGTCTGTAGCGGAGTCCCATAGTGCCTTGAAGGACTCCTCTGAGCTCAGCTTGGTCTCACGTAGCCCTATCCCTGCAGCCATCACTACAGGGAGGCCACGTAAGAGCCAAGCCTTGAACCCAAAACTGACGGTGTACACGGCAGGTTTCTGTCAAAACAAAAAGGCTAACATGCCAACTGATAGGATCATAAGGACATCCATGAACATGTTGAATGAACATGATGAATTGAGATGAATTGAGTACAATTGACCAATGATCACTGGTCAAATCCCCACGAAAAAATGATCAATGATGAACGATCGTCAAATCCCCATCATGGATCAATGATTGTTGGTTAAATATGGTTAAAGATTGTTAAATGATGTTAAATGCTCATGAAAATATCCTCTTCGATTTTGCTGTTGATCGCACGTGGCCTCCATCTTCTCTAAGTCTCTTTCCATGGCTTCCAAATCCTCGGCACAGCCATTGAGGCCACCAAAAAGCAACCACAATAGAAGTTTTTCTGGGGGTAAGTGTTCAGCTAAAATGATTGGATGTTGATGATGTTATGTGTTTCACTGTGGTTTTCATTCATGTGAGCTTTGTTCACTGAAGATCTGAAGATTTATAGTGTTTTTTCCCAAAGAGGTTGATCCAGAATAAATGATGGGAAAACATTGGAAAACCTACCAATGAAGTCATCTGCATGGTGAATGAGGGATCACCGGTCGGAATAAATATACATGTGTATATATATATATGTGTATATTACATTATATATATATATATCATAATATATTATAATATGTATACACTACGTATATTATATATATATATACACGTATTTATATATACATGTGTAAATTGTAGACTAATGTAGTCGTCGTAGTGTATTTGCATACTTATGTATATATAAAGAAATATTTGTGTATTTGGAAACACCAACCAGTCATCATGCAACCACCAAGGCATACTTGAGCCGCATTGTGAAAGACAACTGGGACTGCAATCAACCAAAACACATGAATCGAAAAAAAAATCAAGGGAACTACTGACACTGACATTGCATTCATGCTGACAAACTCTAAGGTGACATTCACACAAAACATGTTGTGAACCTCACGGCCAAGATTGCCCAGTGTGATCTTGCACAGAACGACCCTCAACGGCAGAGGTGTTACCACAGTTGAGTTCTCAGTAGTGCCATGTTTTTCTTATTTCTGGGAGTCTGTGTCTTCTTGAAGCATTTGCCCCCTTTTTGCCCTTTCAGTAGCATCAGCATGTTTCAAATTTGCATGAACAACCATGCTTCAGAAAACGCTTGTGACATTGCATTCATGCGGACAAACTCTAAGGTGACATTCACACAGAACATGTTGTGAACCTCACGGCCGAGATTGCCCAGTGTGATCTTGCACAGAACGACCCTCAACTGCAGAGGTGTTACCACAGTTGAGTTCTCAGTAGTGCCATGTTTGTCCTATTTCTGGCAGTCTGTGTCTTCTTGAAGCATTTGCCCTATTTGCCCTTTCAGTAGCATCAGCATGTTTCAAATTTGCATGAACAACTATGCTTCAGAAAACGCTTGTGACATTGCATTCATGCGGACAAACTCTAAGGTGACATTCACACAGAACATGTTGTGAACCTCACGGCCGAGATTGCCCAGTGTGATCTTGCACAGAACGACCCTCAACTGCAGAGGTGTTACCACAGTTGAGTTCTCAGTAGTGCCATGTTTGTCCTATTTCTGGCAGTCTGTGTCTTCTTGAAGCATTCCCCCTATTTGCCCTTTCAGTAGCATCAGCATGTTTCAAATTTGCATGAACAACTATGTTTCAGAAAACGCTTGTGACATTGCATTCATGCGGACAAACTCTAAGGTGATATTCACGCAGAACATGTTGTGAACCTCACGGCCGAGATTGCCCAGTGTGATCTTGCACAGAACGACCCTCAACTGCAGAGGTGTTACCACAGTTGAGTTCTCAGTAGTGCTCTTCTCAAGAGGCGGAGCATATCGATCGAGTCTTTAGCATTAAATTCAACGACAGTCATTCAAATGTGCTGGAATGCATTTGCAAAACTATTAACCAGTTATATAAAACAGAGCAAAGCACAGATGTCAAAGCAACATCACAGGTTGCATTGCAGGTTGCATTGCAGGCTATGTTTTCGGTCCATCTCAAATAATATGGGAACGGATTCACTGAACTCATCATCCAATACCTATATTTTGAGTAAGTTGAATCAATAATTTGTCAGGGTACAAGATCAGGAGGTTCCCTTCTTGGACTTGCTTAAGAGGGCCACAAAAAAGAAGGGAACAACGCCTCGAGGCGGGCGTGGGTTTGATCATTGTGCTTTTGGAGTTTCAATCAGGAATAAGATGGAATAAGCATAATAATGTAGTTTACAGTGAATTATGATTCCGCGACATGAATTCTTGATATCAGCATGCACAGGTCAACATCTGAAAAAAACTTTGCAGCGCATCAACTGTGGCTTTCAAAGCCGACATGTTTTCTTTGCTTCTTTGTCTTCAGCCTCCATTCTTCGTTTTGAGTTGACCCAATTTCTGTACATATGTTGATTTTGAAACCAGTACTGCCATGATCGCACGTGAGTTTGGCATTCAGATGATTTCTATACAACGTCTTGACATTTTTAGGCAGCCATGACTGAAGACTCTTCCAGCGGGAGTCAGCTATCTGAGTTCCAATATTTCGACCTCTGAGAAATTCCTGATTTCGATGGCTCACCTGCTTGATCCTAAAGGATCTGTTCTTACAACCCCCCACGGGTTGAACCTCAGCATCTGCAACGTACATGTGAACATCGGCAACATATCAAATGCTGAAATGAGGGCACGCAGCAGTTACATGGAAAAACTCAACCCCCGCTCAGGGCGTTGACCCCAAAAAGAAAAATGCTCCCATGCGCCTGATTTCTCAAATGGTGGATCCACCAATGCGGAAAAAAAACATATTCAGCAAATCTCCGTAATGAGAGTTGACTCATCCACCTCCATCTTTGCACTTCACCACTTTCTTTCCGCAGAGGCATCAATCATAAAGATCCGAAACCTTCAGCTGGTCGAGCATCACATCCATCTTTTCATTACCAAACAATGGGGGTATAAAATATGGGGTCTACCAGCATGATTCCAGGTAAGTTACTCTTATTCATGAAATCCATAAACCAGAAATTGTCCATGGTTCATAAGATGAAGATATACCAAGCCCAATTTTTGGGGATACTCCACCATTTCTTTTAAACCATTGGTGTATCCGAATTTCCGGTGACCCGCAAACCCAGCGGATCACTCCAGGGCGAGCAGCCACGTCGTCATCGTGCGGCACAAAGCCGCCGTGCCGCAGAGCACCCAACAAACTGCCGCCTACGATGGACATTCCGATGGAATCATTGGAGAATCGAACGAGAATGGCTGCCATGGCTATGAGTCAAAACGGGACCCAAATGGTACCCTAATAGCTAGCTGGTCAATGGATGTCTATTCCCAACAAAAAAAAATGGTCATGTCATGTCATATGTTTCGACCCATCCCCATATGAAATTCATTGAAATTCTACATCTTAGTTGAGTTCAATATCTCCCGAATTCATGAAGTCAATCTAACTTGAACCCAGCAGTTGGGCTCCAGTCAAATATCCAGCCCTTGATGGAAGTTCCAGGTTAAATTCGATAGGTTCAAAAAAAATGGTGGCTGGATGAACCATGAAGAACCCCATTGGAAAAGCTGATTACTTTGTTGATAAGCCTAGCCCTGAGGCTCGATTTAGTCAATTTATGTCAATTTCATCTTAGATTTCAATGGTAAGCGACAGGCCTATCGGTGACTCCGCTCACCCTGCCACTCGCAGGCTATCAACTTGTCTGAGGGCTTCCCCTCGAAATTTTGCAGAGATTCACAGTACATGATATAAATCCATGTATAAATCGTTCCAAAACAGACATCAATGGATTGGTTTAAGGCAACAACAAAAACTTCAACCGATCTGAAGACGCAGATCTTCAAAGCCTGTGAGCCAACACGGAATCCCGGCACTTTCGAATCTCCACAGGGTGGCCTCCACAGGGCGTCGATGGTATGGAACTTAGTGGAATTTCATGGGGGTCAATGGAATTTAACCATCAATGGGGATGATACCCTCCAGTAGTTTCACATGGTTATGGAAAATCACCATGTGTTAATAGAATTTAATAGGTAAATTATCTGTTAGCTGTGTTAGATTACTGGAGGGTATGTGATGATGTGACCTTCCGAAAAAGGAGTGCATCCAAAAATATAGTCACAATTTGGTAAGTATGGTCCTGCTGTTTCTCCTGTAATTAACTTCACGTATCACAGAACATTCATTAATAATTAATAGAGTATATCATTCTCATACACATATCACGACACTATATGTTCAACATTAGGTTTGGGTCAAGACCGCACGCCTCTGGCTCTTTAGCACCAGCTCAAATCTTCAAACTTTGAACCCCCCAATTCTGAGTAAAGAAGAATCTGCTTAGCTTGTATAGTTCAATAATATCTACACGACACAGTGATGCCTTCATTACAATGCTCAGTCTTGAGTCTTGACAATTCAAAAATGCCAATGAAATACAGCATTTCACCCAAACATGGGACAACTTACATACTTAAAATGTTTGGTTGGTAACACCTCTGATTCAAACATTTAATGACCATTTATCTTAATGAACAAAAACGTTTGGTTGAAAAATATTCTGCTCTTAATTTTGAATTACCTTTCATGTTAATATCAAACGTTCATTTTAGTGTTAAACAATCCAATTTTAGCTTAAACATAGGGTGACCCAAATCCTAAGATTTTTGATACAAACCCACATGTCCTATTGTTGGTGATATTCCAGCAATTATCCCATCAAATAAACGCAATGGTTTGTTGGTTAAATATCATAAAATCACCATAAATCCCAGTGTATCTCGAGTATTTCCGAGTAAGCATCCCATTAATCCTCAATTCCTCGGGTCCATTGGTAGTTTTCAGCCAGGCCCATTGCACCTGCAGAAGAACCAACCTGGGGTGAAAACGCACAATGACACAAGTAAGTATGTATATAATTTAGTAATACTTATAGAAGCCAATTTTCTTAAAGTCAGTCGAATAATTGTGCATATATTCATATAATGTCATATATATATATAATATTATACACATTATTGTAGTTAGACAGGGACATATGATTAACATAAAGCAGAGCTAACATCCTTTTTTTATCTGTATATAATACTTATAACAAGATGCAGAATGTTACTTCAGGCTACCAGTGTCCCCATTACTGCACGTTTCAAGGCTATGGCATACGGGGGTGTCTGCAAATGGGGTATACCACCAGATGGCTATTTCATGCTATTCTAAGTGCGAAATGGTGATAAACCAGGGGAACCCTATTTTCCGGCAACCTGATTTTGCCAACACATCATTCTGGCTGAATTGTAATAATATTTATAGTCCAGTTTGCGCTGCAGCACCCAAGCTCAAGGAGAATTGTAATAATATTTATATAATGGTGATTCAGTAACCTTAAAATCGCCGAATTTTTTTGGACATCTTGGAATCTTGGGATGATTTCCTTTACAGCTGTACAATTCCTATCATTCCAGTGGTTCTTCTTGCCATTCCACTGAGTCGCACACAATGCAGTCTGCTGTTGATGCAAGTCTCAGTCCAAGCAGGTCGGTGATTGCAAGAACAGGCGGGCAACCCAAACAGAAGTTGTAGGACCCTGTAGGGGCCACGGATGAACCAAGCCCGGACAAAACGTGTCAAAACATATAATATATATATATATATAGTATATAATGTATAGTATATATATAGTTGTATATATTTGGAATGTTTGACCTATTTGAATCAAGTCTTCGATGCGATCAACAATACGAGACCCAAGATGTCATATCCTCCACTCCGGTGCCAAGGGACGGGTGGGATTTAACCAGGCTGGAACCGACTCCTCGCGAGATCTTACCCGGCGTTTACCAAACCTGTGGATGGGATATGATGGGATTGTGTCTTGCTCAAAGATTCAGCGAAATCTGCATAGTAACTTTCCAATATCCCCCTACCCCGGACGGTCTCTTTAAAGGGATGCCTCAGTTTCTTCAAAGTTTCAGGCCAAAACAGAGGCCAGAAACCATTTGAAATCACACAACCCCGCATCCACATCCACATATCATCCACATTTTCACAAATAAACACAAACCTCGCAAACAAAATCGAGAGTGAATGGCTCGGTCAGCTCAGCACTGATGACTTGTTTAAAGAATGACCCCAATCTAATTAGGGAAAGGAAATATTTGAAGATGTACACATTTTCCTGACATCTTAAAAGATAAGATCCAGAAAACGAATCTGAACTATATATAATGTTGTCTGACCAATAGTGAAACCTTGTCAATAGTAGAAACATTTTTCCGCATCCCCAATTTTTCTCCAATACTAAAAGTCAATTAGCTCTATTTACTTTTAGTATTGCCAAAAGAGTCATGTTCAGACCTTGTCCAGAGGGCATGGCCAATAGTGGACCCAACATGGCAATAGTGGAAACTTTTTTCCCAACTCCAATTTTTTCTCCAATACTAAAAGTCAATGAGCTCTATTTACTTTTAGTATTGCCAAAAGAGTCATGTAAAGCAAATCCTTTTCAAAGCAGCCTTCACGTTTGATTAGCAAAAGCTTAGATTCCAGAAATCTGATCCAATTACCAAACAGCTGATTTCCTTATAAAACCCTTATTAAAAAAAGCAAGAAAACAGGTCCACAAAGGCCAGGCATGGCAATAGTGGAAACTTTTTTCCGCAACTCCAATTTTGTTGTCCTCCTTCTCCTTCTCCTTCTCCTTCTTCTCCTTCTCCTCCTCCTCCTCCTTCGCCTCCACCACCTCTGCCCCCACTTCCATGTCCACTTCCGCCTTGCCAACTCTTCGCCAATCTCTTCGCCACTCGAGAATCTATCAGATACATATCATGATCCCAGCTATAGATTCCCAAAAATTATTATAGGAAGGTTGACCCCCCCCTTAAAAAAAAAAATAGGGGGGGTAATTACTATTAGGCAGCCAACATTAGCTATAATAATATAATAATATCGTAATATAACACACATACGCACCCCCGGGTCCCCAGCGATACTTCTTTCATTCCGAGGGTCAAGTGGTTTTCATGGGCCCCGACAGTGATCGTGTTTATCCCCATTCAGTGGGGTTCTCATCCCATTAGACCATGACTTCGGACGAAACAACGGTGACGGCTGGGACGGCACCTTCTCCGGCACCTTCTCCATGGCGGCCATGGCGGCCACACGGGCCACACGGGCCATACAGTTGCTGCGCTGCAGGTTTGCCAAAAATTATGTGAATGTGTGTTTTTTCATGTTTTTTCGGTGTCAGAAAGAAGAAATCCATGTCCAGGAACAGCATTTGCAGTCCGGTGGTCCGAAAATTGGATTGCGCAAGAGTTTATAGTCGACATGTTAAGACTTAACTGATCTGACTGTCTTACCTTGAAATATCTTGAAATAACACAACCGCAAATCAAACACTGGGATCCTAAACCTTCACACGCGCACACATATAGATGGGGTCAACCCCAATCAACAAACTTTGAAGAGTACGTAGCAGGCACCCACTTTGGGGCTTGAGCACAAAACATGTGATTGAGAGGAGCGGTTATCAACGTTTTCATTTCCAACGCATGAATTAATTTTCAGCTAACCTTTTGACAAATTTTGAAGAATGTGAGTTTCAAGTCTCACTACTTAGATGGATCATGGAGTTAATTAATTGGGTATTCATACACTCTAATGGGTATACATGGGTTATAATCCAGTTCTCAACCATATAACTAACTGTGTTCAATTTACAGAACTGCCGAGTCTGCTGCACTGGCTGTTCTATACATTTCAAGTATTTAGAGAAAATAACATGGATCCAGCTGGAGTTGTATTGTAGATGCCGGTTTCAATTGCCATGATGTTCCATTCCCGGAATCGGTTTTATTTGGCGGAACAACACATTTTTGGGAAATGATCACTTTTGGGAATAGGCCTCCTGATTCATAAACCAGATTTTTGCAACTCTGGTGTTGACACTTCTCTTACTTCATGGAGCTAATCCACTTCCTAACCATGTACTGATTTAGGCCTGGTCCAGAATGGCCTATGCCTATATGTCCAAACTTGCAATCTGGATGACAAGACAAGTATGCGTTCGAGTTTCAAACGGACCAATTTTTAGCACTAAGAGACCAGCTTGAACGGAGAAAATTGATTTTAGTAGAAAAACAACACCCACACGAAAGAATCAGCAGAAAGACAAACAGCAAACAACAAAAACTGGATTTTTCCCAAATGTTGTTTTTTTTGTTGTTTTCGTTTTCTGGTTTGGTTTTTTCTGTTCGCTCTGGTATTGATTTTTCTTTGTTTTTTGCTGCAAACAACCCTACATTCTCTGTGTTGTTACAGTAGTCTCTTCAGGCTTGCGTGCCGGACATCCGACCACACATTGGTCAAATGTCAAAATCACGGCTGGAAGACCAAATGCTGCAAGAGCGTTTGTCGCATGCCCAAGGGCAACGCCCTTGGATACTCCATAAAACTACACGACCCCCTACCTATCGATGGTAAAACCCCGGTTGGACCACATCCGCCACAAAATCCAGTCGGATGAATTTTGGCAAAGGCACATCGATTCCACCGACGGCATGTCAATGGCCAAGTCGGCTGCAGGTGCCATCCGCAGCCCACCTTTTCAGAACTTGGTGAAGTCCACAGGCTTGCGTTAAAAGACCAGCTTCAACAGAGAAAAAACACACCCACAGGAAAGAATCAGCAGAACACAAAAAAAACACAGGAACAACAACAATAAATACAAAAAAAAACAGTTTTGTTTGGGGTTTTGTGTTTTTGTGGTTTTCTGGTTTATTTTTTCTGTTTGCCCTGGTTTTGTTTGTTGTTGTTTTCTTGAACAAAATCTGTATAAAACCCTACGGCCCTGCATTCTCTGTGTTGTTGGACTCTTAATTCGCATCATCAATGGAAGTTATTCAATTTCCACCTCTTACTTGGGGAGGTTCCACTCAATAAGTGGGTATATGGCCATAGTTCTTGGGGTTGACTCCCAACTTGATGGGCTAGCATAATATTGCATGTCCCACTCACAACCAGCAATAAGCCATTAATATCCATTAATACCAAAACAAAGAAACAATCCATTCATAATTGACTTACTATAACGGTTACCCTCCGGTAATCAAACAAGGCAATGGAAAATACACTATTTATAGGTGATTTTCCTATTGAAACCCCCATTTCTAGTGGATTTCCAATTGCCACATTTGATTACCGGAGGGTATACCTGATGTTAAAGCTATTTTACACCCCCGAGTGGTGACACTTACCGCGAACGGCCGGCCGCACAGCTGCTGCCGTTTTTCGTTTCCGCGCCGCCGCGCAACGGCCGCAGAGGTCACTGATGGTCACTGCTGCCTTGGCGAGGAAAACCACCATGGGGTGTTCGAAGTCATGGGGGTACCCCAATAGCTGGATGGTTTAGTGGTTTAGATATGTTTAGATATTGGAAAATCAGGTCACAAAATGGATGATCAATGGGGTACCCCTACTTGGGAAACCTCTATTTCCTAACGAACTTTGCTTAAACCTCAAGAATTTTCATTTGACCCTGACCCTAGTCAACCATCGTCTATGTAAGGAAGCCAGTTGTTTGATTGGAACATGTTGATTGGTTGGTCTAGTGCATATAATGAAGAGTTACTTGGGTCAGTATGTGGATACAACCAGCATTGATATGCGTATATTGATCAAAATGATTTGGTGATGTAACTGGCTGTCTGCCTCAAAATGCTGTGAAAATCGCTTAAATTCTGTCGTGTAGAACAAACACATATGTGCCAGGGTCCAAACATGCTATATGGCTTATGGTAATCCATCCCATATTGGGAATCCGAAAAAAATTCGGCTTGAATAAAAGATCCCTAGGAATAGATTGATGAACATCCATCCATTTTTATGGGAAACCACTCCACGTTGTGACCATGGCATATATATATATATATACACATACATATATATATATATATTTATACATAGTCACCATTAATATAATATGTATATTTTATATACAATGTTGAGTTAATATTATTGCATGAATACTCCCCCCGAATTAAACAACAACCACATTCCAAAAAGTGTTTGGCAATACTACTTTGGGTTGGTCCCTCCCTAGTAATAAACATGTGCGACCCCCTATTAAATAACATCCTGCTCATAAATCCTTTTTGTTTGGTATTCTGGATATAATTATTGTTTAATTGTTTTAACTGTTTTTTTATTGTTGAAAAAGCAATGTCTTGAACTATCCCATCCCATTGGGAAGGAGGTTGCCACTGAAACGAGAAATCTCTACCCGTTGGCAGGCAGGTTGGTTGTTATTTATGTATGACAAGCCCTAGTTTTTTATTTGGGAGGGACTCTTACCTTCTAGGGCCGGGGTATGAATACAAACTTGGCATTAATTACAATGGAAATTTTACCATGTAGATAATTTTCCATTGAAATCTCCATTTGTAGGTGACTTTCCATTGCCACCATTAATATTACCAGAGGATATTCACCGTTTAAATTGATTAAGTTTCGCGCTTGTCACATTCTTGGACAGACCCATGATGAAGCTACAGATGGCAATTTGAATGGTCATGTTCAGTCTAAACGGTCGTGTTGCACTTCCCTGTTGTTTAGTTGGTTTATGCATTGCATAAAAGGAAGAGAAGCGAAGACAATGGGAAAATAATGGAGATAAACATGGAACGAATTCAAACAGTAAATACACATGGTGAGATCTAAGCCGCTTGAAATTATATATATATATATATATTGGCCATGCAAGTGTATATTTGTACATACAACTACAATCAACTCTATATATATATATATATAATTAATACAACTATAGTAAGTATAGATTGATCTGCAATACATAAAATCTATTTTAAAAACTGTAACTCTGTAGAATTTCTGTGTACATATGCTAGACATACACTAGACGTAATCTATATTAAGTGCATGATATCTCATTTTTCATCTATCCGACCATGTAGAGTCTTGGCACAACCTGAGGCCGCGACAGATTTTTTAAGCCTTGAGAGAAGAAGAGCTTATGCCCCAAGGTCTGGATCCCCAAGATCTGCCGCGCAAACAGCAACAAAAAGCTGGCTGCAAACAAAAATAACAAGAGATAAGAGTATATATAGTGTATATGGTGTGTATATGGTGTATATATGGTGTATATGGTATAAATCACCCAGTTATAGTGAACTATTGGGTCTTTAACTATGGTTCAAATCGCTCCGAGAGCGGAGAATTATGAATGACTATCCCCGCATGTTAGATGATTCATCAATTTCTTGCAATAAACACGGCTATAAACAACTATCCTGAGAATAAGTAAACGGAAAATATAGGCAATCATAAGTGGGTGTTTCACAAAAGGACTGAGAGATTTCATGGGACATATCCCTGTTGATTGCAAACCATTACTGTATCCGTTTATTTTTTTGGATCATACCACTGGGTGCGGAGATTCCGACAAATACGGCCATTGATTCCTTTTCCACTTTTTCCTTGTACGCTGAAAGCACTTTCTTTCCGCCAAGAACCCCTGATTTGGTATGTATTGGATCTACTCATCGTAAGGACTCATCATCATCATCATCATCATCATCCTCATCCTCATCATCATCACCATCATCATCATCATCATCATTATCAAATCATCAATTCATCGATTCATCGATTCGTCGATTCATCGATTCATAAATTCATAAATTCATCAATTCATCCTCATCATCCTCATCATCATCATCATCATCCCCAGGTTTGTAAGGGTATATTCCATGAAATCCGATTTTTTTTGGGTATATCCCATGATTATAGGGGTTATAGCCCCATCCCATTGTATAATATCCAGTATACCACCATGTTTGTTGGCTAAATCCAATTATATCCAGATATATCCCCCTTCATAATTCCATTTATATATATATATATATCAATTATATCATGGTCCATGATTATATTGGTGATATACTTATAGTATACAGCCAGTATGATTTCTTGGGTATATTTCACCCCAGGGTCCATGATTAATGTTGATTATATGATACGGTTATAGCTTTATATAGTGAATGTCAACCCTGGATTAATAAACAATGGTTTATTAGTTAGGTGGGTGCTCCTCCAATAGTCATTTCATCTGATACTTACATGGTACCCTCCCAATTAAACAGCCGTTTGGGGTTTATTAATCCAGGGTT